TTGTTAGTCGTTTTCTGTTTCTGAAGTATCCGCAAAAGCACGAGGGTCAGCTTACACGGATGAGACAACAAATGGTTAGTAACATGGTTCTTTATCAGTTTGCTCTGGTAAAAGGGCTTCAGTCATATATCCAGGCGGATCGTTTCGCCCCGTCTAGGTGGTCTGCTCCTGGTGTGCCTCCAGTTTTCGACGAGGACACAAAAGAATCTTCTTTTTTTGACGAAGAGCAAAAACCCCTTTCCAAGGAAAACAGCGATGTGTTTGAAGATGGAGAGATGGAAGATGGTGAACTAGAGGGTGATTTGAGTTCGTACAGAGTTTTATCTAGCAAAACGTTAGCTGATGTTGTTGAAGCTCTTATCGGTGTTTACTACGTCGAAGGGGGTAAGATTGCTGCAAATCATTTGATGACATGGATTGGGATTCATGTGGAGGATGATCCTGAAGAAGTGGAGGGAACGGTGAAACCTGCTAATGTTCCAGAGAGTGTACTCAAGAGTATTGACTTTGTTGGTCTTGAGAGAGCTCTTAAATTTGAGTTTCAAGATAAAGGTCTTCTCGTTGAAGCTATAACACATGCTTCAAGACCATCTTCAGGCGTTTCGTGTTACCAGAGATTGGAATTTGTTGGTGATGCGGTCTTAGATCACCTGATTACAAGACACCTGTTTTTCACATACACAAGCCTTCCTCCTGGTCGGTTAACAGATCTTCGAGCTGCAGCGGTTAACAACGAAAATTTTGCTCGTGTTGCCGTTAAACACAAACTCCACTTGTACCTTCGTCACGGTTCTAGCGCCCTGGAGAAACAGGTAAACAAAGACTGGAAAACAAAAAACTATTGTGTTCTCCAAAAATTACATATGTTTGACTGCTTGTTTTTTCAGATTCGAGATTTTGTAAAGGAAGTTCAAACTGAGTCTTCGAAACCGGGGTTCAACTCTTTTGGTTTGGGAGACTGTAAAGCCCCAAAAGTTCTTGGGGATATTGTTGAATCTATAGCAGGCGCTATTTTTCTTGATAGTGGAAGAGATACAACTGCTGCTTGGAAGGTTAGTTATTTAGGTTAAAAGTCTCTGAAAAATTTCTAATCTTTACTAAGACATTATTTTTTATCTCTTTCCAGGTTTTTCAACCTTTGCTTCAGCCCATGGTGACACCAGAGACACTTCCGATGCATCCAGTTCGAGAGCTACAAGAGCGGTGCCAGCAACAAGCAGAAGGATTAGAGTACAAAGCAAGTCGAAGTGGTAACACAGCGACTGTGGAAGTTTTCATTGACGGCGTTCAGATAGGAGTGGCACAAAACCCGCAGAAGAAAATGGCCCAAAAGCTAGCGGCAAGGAATGCACTTGCAGCCTTGAAAGAGAAAGAAATAGCTGAATCAAAGGAGAAGCACGTCAACGGGAGTACGGGAGAGAATCAAGATGAGAATGGGAACAAGAAGAATGGGAATCAGACTTTTACGAGACAAACATTAAACGATATTTGCTTGAGGAAGAATTGGCCAATGCCGTCTTACAGGTAATAAGAAGTTCACTAATGAGTAAAACTCTTGTTAGCCTTGCATATCTGTGGGTTTTATTGAGTTTATTTGGGGGTTTGTGGTGAATTTTGTAGATGTTTGAAAGAAGGAGGACCAGCGCACGCAAAGAGGTTTACTTTTGGAGTAAGAGTGAATACAAGCGATAGAGGATGGACTGATGAATGTATCGGAGAGCCAATGCCGAGTGTTAAGAAGGCTAAAGATTCTGCTGCTGTTCTTCTACTTGAGCTTTTAAATAAAACTTATTCTTGATTTTACCCTCTGATGCTAAAGTCTAGCCATGTCTTATCCAAATATATGTTGAACTAATTTTTGACAGAGTAATTTTGATTTAAGTACAAATATTCCAAAAGATATTTTAAACGACTTCTACTAAAAATAGTAAAAGTTTTGGCTAGTGGTCAATTCATATCAGTTGAACTGTTGGTTGTTCGAATTAATTGGATATCGAATTCTTCAAACAGATTAAACCCAAACCGATCCAATAATTCAAATGCCAAGATAAGGGTCTTCAAACAACATTACGAGTTCACAATGACAAATGATAAGGTCCCAAGTCTAGAAGAAAAATGCAGAGAAAAGTATCAGTTAGGATCATAAGCTTCTTATTATCAATGAATAGCAACAGAAACACAGATGTTGCAGGATTGTTCTCAGGAAAGCTTCAACGCCTCAAGGTATGGAGAATGTATTCAGCATAGAGGTCCCTGTAATGGAGAAAACAAATCCAGAGTTGCTTTAATGTTACAACTTAAAAAGCTGGTAACAAAGTTTGGTTCTTGATGGAGACAGAGACTTACATTGAGTACTGGATAGCTTCAACAGCAGTCTCCGAGGGCAGAAAATCATTCACTGCAACTTCCTTGTTCTCGTTCTTCTTGTCTGAAGGAGATTTAAGTTGAAGGAAAAAACAAATAATCCTTGATAATGGAAACGATTAAGGACCAATAAAGAAAAGAAGGATACAGTCTTCAAAGAAACGACGGATTTCAGAGAGACGGTGAGGGGGAAGTTCTTTGATATCAGTGTAATGCTTATACTCAGGATCATCAACACAGACAGCAATGATCTTGTCATCTTTTTCACCCTAAATCAAAGAGACAAAAATACAAGGATCATTTAAACTGACTTAAAGGATGAGAGTAAGAATATAAAAACATAGCCTTTCCATTGACCAAATTAGTTTTTACCTGGTCAATCATAGGCATTAATCCAATGGCTCTGGCACGCAGAAAACAACCTGGAAGGACAGGTTCCTACACAAAGATAATAAGTTTGTTTATTTTAATATAAGAACGTTTGGTGCATAATATAAGAAAAAGAATAGAACCATACCTGCATGATGACCAATACATCAATTGGGTCATTGTCTTCACACAATGTGCGAGGAACAAAGCCATAGTTGTGAGGGTACACAACTGATGAGTACAGAATACGATCAACCTGAAAGAGATAATGCAAGATGTTACTATTGATTTTGCGATAAGAAAACAATTCATATAAGCAAATAATCTTTGATCTTAATACAAACCTTGATGAGCCCTGTCTTTTTGTCAAGTTCATATTTGACCTTGCTTCCTTTTGTGATCTCGACAACCTAATTATCACCCAAAGACAAAATGATTCAAGAACATCGAGACAAGATTCTCTGTAAAAGATTCTCAAACAATAGAAGAAACTTACCACATTGAAAATCTGAGGAGCTCCAGGTCCTATTTTTAACGAGATATTATGAATTAGTTCCAAAAAATACAAACAAAAAAGCATGCAAAAAACTGAATCATATATGATTTGTTACCAATCTCAAGATCATGCCATGGATGTGCAGCTACGGATCTTCTTGACAAAGATGAGAGAATCCTCTCGTTAAGACGAGGAGCAGGTCGCTGCAGCTTCTGGTCATCGTTAGCTTCTTCACTCATCTGTCAAAATCACAACTTTATGAATCAAAAACATCTTAATAAGGAGAGAGAGAGAGAAAGAGAGTATCAATCGAATCAAAATACCAAATTTATTGGACTAAGCGAATCAGACCCCACAAGAGCAAACAACCTTTAGAGCAGATTTTAAGATCGATAATACCGAAATTAAGCTACGTTTCTTAATCTAACATATCGATAACTAAAGATCTACGCCAAATCTGTTCACTTTTTTTTTTTGCTCTAGAAAACTCGATGGATGATTATGGAGATTTGAAGCAATACCCAGTAGATTAACTTTGACGATCTAAGATACAAAACCAAAAGAAAACAGAAAGAAAAAAACGTACCTTTGGATCGAAACGAAAACGATCTTTTTTCAATCGCAAGGATGAAGAAACTTTGGGAGAGAAAGAAAGGAGTGAAGCGCGTTGGTCTCGTAAATTGTAAGCGTTTTAAGGTAAGTGTATATATGAGTGACCACCGAGAATTACGGATCAACCTTTTATTACTCTCGTAACACTACTCTACCACTTAAATAATTGATATATATATAGAGTAAAACCTCTATTATTTTATAGTGTAAATTAATAATAATTAATTTATAGTGGTATTTTTAATTTATAGTACTAATCATGGAGTATTATTTTAATTAATGTGTGGTTGGAAAAAAAAATTTGGTTATTTTTATGACTTGTGATGGTATATGTCACAAAATTATTGTTTAAAAATATACTAACATAAAATTATTTATTGAGGTGAACTAGAGAAAATTGATTTTTACAAAAACTAAAAACATATATATATATAATGATTATTAATTTATGATATTATTGGAACTATATTTTACATAGGAATGTCAAAAAAATTATTATCTTATTATCTTATCAAATTTGGTCAATTTTTACACTGGCCCGATTTGGGACTAGCAAAATTTATTAATTTATAGTGTTCATTAATTTATAGAGTATTAATCTATAGAGGTTTTACTATATATATATATATGTATTTTCCTTTCTGAATATATACAAATTTCCGTTTAATAATTTTCGCGCGAAACACGGTTTGTTTAATATCTGTGTTTCGCACGAAAATTATGAATATATAACAATAAAACAGAATATTCGCTTTGCGCTCACTCGATGTTAAATAGGAAATTTTTATAACATTTTCGCTAATAATTCTGTAAGAAATTAGGATATTTTATTGCATTTTATTTCAACAAAAAGAATGCGAGTGGAATAATAAATATAATATATTCATCAGTGAGATAAATTAAGAGATTGCAGTGGCACTATTATGTTAGTGACACATGAGCCTTTGGCTTGTTAGTTACATGGGAAAACGTTGTATGTAGGCCGAGTAGAGTGAATGAATAAATCTTAAGCCCAGCCGAACATCTTTAGGGCCTTTTGGCGTTTGGGCAATGAGCGCCTTCAAGTTTAAAAAACAAACAACAGAAGAATCATTATTGAAAAAAGAAACACAAAAGAATGACCCGAACATTCAAAGCTGATACTTTTGTACAATCCATCTTGTCATTCTAAACTATTTATGATTCCATCATCAATATCCACAATTTTGAAAAGACATGAATCCATTGCTTGAATGGTTAATTAACAGTAGTAGTAGCAGCAGACATATAGACCAGAAGTAGCATACACAAACAGAGACAGACAGAAGATAATACATGGGGATATGGTACAGAACTTGACATGACCAAAGAAATGTTCTGATGGATCTAAAAAGGAAGAAATAACAGTCTCTTTCATGAAGATTGAAGTTGCAATCACTAACACTAGATTTAAAGATATTGGTAAAAATGTGGATGTGTTTTTACCTCAAAGTCTGTCATGTAGAAGCTTCTCCTTCCAATCGAAGCCTTTTGCAGACTTTTTCATCACTTTGATTGTTTGTGTCACCTTGGCTCTCTTTCAGTTCCATTGAACATCTCTTGTATGGCTTAAACCCTGTCTGTCTCGTTTTAAGACTCTTTCCAGGTCCAACACCGATCATTACTACTCTTTCTTGGTCTGCATCACGGGAATCTTGAACTTTAAAATTAAGAGCCAATGGCATTGACGTGCCAATTTGTTTTCCATTCACATTCTCTGCCACTAGAGGAGGTGAAAAGCTTTGAGGTAATCTTTCTCTTGCAAAGAGAGCCTGAAACGCCATACGACCCTGACAAGATTTTTGTGAATGCATAGTGTTAGCTCCCAAAAGAAATCTGCAATATCTATCAATCATTAGTTTTTGTTTTACCTCTTCGGAGACTTCCTTCCACGAATCAGTAGCTGGGTTGTTGTTGTCTCTCAATTTAGTCTTACGGTTATTTAACTCATTAACATCTGGTTGATTCTCATCTGCCTCCTTCACATCCTCGTTATCTTTCTCCATTTTATCTAGTGCGTCTGTTTCCACATCACTCCCTGAAGGTGTGTTAGAGCCACACGATGAGCGATCCACCAGATTTTTTTTCTTGGTAACGTTTGAGTCATGCGCAGCTGCAGTTACAACAACTTCCTCAACCTTATCACCATTTGCTTTTGAAGCAGCATTTACGTTGGTTACTCCGGTCTCCTCTGAATCATCAGATGATGAAGCTGGAGATTTCGAAGCCAACTTTGGATCTTGCAGAGCAGTGTTTTGTTTCTCAAGCGGTAGTTGAGCATTTTCATCGGTATCCATCTCAGTCATCGCTGGAGTTGGAACAACGGTTGGTAAAGGAACACATGTAAGTGGAGCTGGAGCGCATACAGGAAGCAGTCCATGAGAAGCCCACCAAGCAGTTGCAGCAGCTACTGTAGCTGCAGCAATAGCAGCTACATTTGGAGGAGACGAGCTCACTGGGGTTGATGAATCTCCAGAGTTCCCGACACTCGCACAAGGCCAAACGGAAGCAGCAAATGTAGCTGCAGCATGAGCTGCAGGATTCTGTAGGAGAGTTGACATAATAAGATTGGAGAAAGTAGATGACATCTGGAGAAATGAACGGTAATCATCCTGTGAATGACAAGCTGGAAACGGTTGATGAGAAGTTGTAGTAGTAGCAGATGCTGTAGTAGCTTGACGAAATCCGTGCCCGTGAATTTCTTCTCTCATAGGATGAAACATGAAATCTTGAGATACCATACCTGAGGGATGATTCTGAGGACATTTTGTGATATTCCCGTTTACAATATCCGCGTGAAAATGCCAAGGGTAGTTTTGCAGGCTGTGCACAGTACCATCGTTACCATCTTTGTCTTTATTCTTCTTGGGAACATCTTGAACCGCATTGTCCACGGTTGAGGTCTTACTTGTTTCAATATCAGCATTTCCCTGCTCAAAATCAGAATGGAACAAGTTCTTTTTTGTCATGCAGTTAACTTTAAATACAGCATTGATGAGGTTTTAAGACTACAATTTTATACCTTTCTTTGAGTTACTTTTTTTGGTAAGGGATACTTGTTCATAGTCGAAACCCCCGAGCAATTATCATCTTGATTTTCTTTCCCAGTTGATGTTTTCTAATCAGAAAAAAAGAAAACAATAAACCAAAAACAAAACATAAGAAGATTATCACAAGAAACAACAAAATAATAGAAAGAAGAGAATGAGTAGGAATAAACCTCAGAAACCGGCATTTTTTCCAAATCCAAGAATGCGTGATTACACTGTGACGAAGAGGCCGATGAGACAAGTTTTGCATCTTTTGCTGATGATACTTGTGAGGAAGATGTACCGTTATTCCCAGGTTTCCGAGGATAAGGAGTATTGGGTTTTCGTTTAGGACGAGGAGGTGGAATTTCAATGTCCAGAGCTTGACAGACAGGAATACCTTTAGTTTCAGCCTCTTTCTCCAACTGAAAGTGGACCAAATTGTGAGATTTTTCCAAACCGGACATGGAAAAATGCAGCTCAGATGTAAAATCCTGAGACTCATGAAATTGACCAAAAGCACGAGGTTGAAAAAAGTCTTATACTGACACGAACTTTTCGGGGTAGAGATGATAGAGTTACTTCATGTCCTGTCCTATAAGGCAAGGAGGTTTGGTTTTCCATTTGGTTGGCTATAAAAGAATCCATGCAATCCCATTATTTTAGTGAATACGGGTCAATTGTCTCATGCAAATGCAATGCTAGTTATGTTACTTTGGACCTATCTTATGGGTCTCAGAGAATAAAGTGTTCTCAAATCTAACAGATGTTTTCCACTTGGACAATTCGTCATCTCTAATACTTATAGTGCAAATGACAGATGTTTCCATAGAACCTGCTGCAATCCTCACAACCAACCAACTCTACTTAACAACACACACCAAATATCTAGTTGAAGCAATGTGAAGAAAAAAAAAACTTCAATCATATTTTCAGACAGGACACAGACGATTATAGGCAACTCTAAACATGGATATGGAGACTGGAGAGAAGTTATATTAACTCATACCAACCATTGGTGACTTCTTCACTCTAATTGAACACAAGTTAATGAACATGTTTAAAAAACGGATTCCAGAGATCAACTCTTACCTTTGTGAAGAACTTTTGTGCATGACTTCTGATCTGAACAGCAGTCTTTGTCCCAATATGTTCTGCAATCAAAAGAAAAAGGAAAAGGAAAAGAAAAAGAGAAGAGAAGAATCTCCAAATCAAGAGGAGATAAAACAACTAAGACTCCTAAACAAAATCTCTCACATCAAAAATTAAGCATACAAAAGCTAATTGGTTCCGACCTTCAATTCGTTGCCAAGCCCTTCCATAAAGCCTCAAGGCTTCTAAGAACCTCTCATGCTCATCCTCTGTCCATCGTTCTCGCTGCTTTGTTATTGTATATGGCTTTCTTGCCTAAACAATAAAAAAAACAACACCCAAAAAAAAAAGAAAAAAAAAAATCTTCTTCACACAACAACAATCCAAAATCTTTAAAAAAAAACAATTTGAAGCATAAAATAAATGAAGGACCTTAGTTAATAATTCTTCTCCAGATGTATTAGTATCCATAACAGGATCTTTGCAGCAATTCGCTGCTTCAAATCCTCTCTAACAAGTAAAGTATAATAAAGAAACCATCTTTGATCTCCCAAAACATGAAAGTTTCCAAATTGCAGCAGAGCCGTTGTGATAATCTCTTTAGAATCTAGAGCAACTACAAAAGAGCAAAGTAGTTTATCAGAAATATTTATCCATCCTCACAAACTTACTTAATATAAGAGACAGATTTAGAAAAATTTCAAAAGAGAAATCTTTTTCAAAGTCGTTGCTTTCTCCAGCAGAAAGCAAAAGAATTCACAGAAGCCTCACCCAAACGAATCCATCGCAGCCAAAACCTTAACAGCATCACAAATCTTCATATCAGTATTTAATCACTAGATTCGTATGATTATGCTAACTTTAGTTTTAATAACAGAGGAGATCTTATATCATCTTAAATATATATGAGGAACCCTAGAAAACTGATAATAATTGTAAAAAGCTGTATACCCTTGAGAATAGCCATGGAGGAGTCAAGTATGCAATCTGACATGTAAACTAGATCATCTCACCGGGAACTCGCCGGAGATGTCATCGTTCCCGGAAACAATTCAAGTCGAGGATCTAAAATAAAATCTCTAAAAAAATAATAAAAACGTAGAAAGAGAGAAGAAGATAAACTGAAGAAGAAGGAACTAGGAAAGACTGTTTTAGGCTGAAGACTACTGGAAGAAGAAGAAGGAAGAAGAAGAAAAAGCCAGAAGCAATCTCAGCCACAACAAATTTTCCCTAATTTTTCAATTTTTTGTGAAATTTTTTTAACGTATTTTATATTTGAGGCTGAAACAGCACCAAGGGTATAAGTGGCAAAAACAGAAGTCATCGGAGATCGACACGTGGGGAGAGTGTAGTGGCTGTCTACTGCACTTTTTGGTTTCTCTCAAGTTGCTTCTCTACGAGCCAGAAGAAGCCTCCCGCAGGTTAAAGTGACTTATTTGCTTACGTGTCAGCGGTTTTTCCCCGTTTATTGGTAGCAGCAAGTGGGTACGGTGCCAGCTGTGGTGCTCTCCAAACCGATACGTGTCGGTTTTGTGAAGACATCTTTTAATATGCGCTTCTTACATATATATTTTATGGGCTTCGTACAAAATTTAGCTTCTGTTTTTCAGTTTCTATATTTTTGACCTTTCTAGGGCAGCAAACACAATATTCTATTGGGCTACTCATGGGCTTTACGGATTCACGCTTCATTTCTCTATGACTCTAGATTAGTACCCTAACTAACAACTAACATTAATTAAAATGATGTACATACAATACGACGGCAATAATAAACAAAGAACATTAAATAGATAAGAAAAATTTTCAAAAGCTCATAAACATCATTATAATTACTGAAAATATTTTACAAACTCTCAACGTTAATGTTTCGAGTTCCAGACTTTAAATAAAGTTATTTTATCTCACATTCTCTCCTTATACATTAACTATAATATAACCGTTACTTGTAAAGTACAATAATATTAAAATTAAACGGGAGACTTAGAGTCGTCGTCATCAGTTTTAATATTGTGAGCTTCGTCATCCAGCCGAGAAGACAATATAGCTGATGGTTCAGTTTCTTTGTTCTTACCCCACAAGAACATGTAGAGACCCGTTACTGTCACTAGTGATCCAATCACACTGCATAATTGTAACTAGCGTTTTAAAGTACATTTACAATGTAAAAAACGATAATAATTTGATAGTACATTTGATTGTAACTAGCGTTTTAAAGTACATTTACAAGAACATACCTTCCGATGTATAAAGGAGTGTGTAATATTAGGAAATCAAATAGAGTAGCGGAGATTAGAATAATTGGGAAAAACGCCGATGCGAAAACAGCTCCCAATTTCTTTATTCCCCATGTTGTTGCTACCGTCGACATTGCTTGTCCGATCACTCCCTACAAATAATTATATTTATAAAATGAGTTATATATTATGGTAATATATGCATTGTAACCTTATACATTTAACTTTAAAAAAATAACATTTTTAGATCTATGAAGATATGATATTATATAACTTACAGCGTATATAATGACGATTATCACGAATTTGTCATTGATGATCCAATCATTAACGTCTCTTTTCTTGTAAAGACTCAAGAGAGCACATTGAAACCCGGCGAATACTGACATGAGACAAGTGCTTGAGTATTTGCAAGGGTACTTAATGTTTAAGGTCCCTTGAAACAACATCCATAGAGATAGCAAAACGGTTCCTATGGTTAAGTAAAGACATCCAAGAAGCCAATTATTGGCTTTGTCTTGGCGAGCGTCGTCGTTGCTGTTATTGTTGCTGCGGGGAGTCTCTCCTCGGTGAGAGTGAGATATTGATATTTGAGGGCCTTTATAAAATGTTAACAACAAAGCTCCACTTATACATATTAGAGTTCCAATCACCTTCAACATCCCTGCTTTGGTCTTTAAAACCTTTATATTTTCAATCCTAAAAGAAAAAGAAAAAAGGTGTTAGGTAATTTATTTAGAGAGTCATACTGTATAATAAATAAATAAATTATTATGTAACAAAAACAAGAAAAAGAGGTTAATTATCGAATGATAGAAGAGGTTAGATGGTTCCATCTTTTACCTGAAAATAAGGGCCAAAGCGAAGGTGATTGCAGGCAACATGCTTACCAAAGCACTTGAAACAGTTGCTGACGTGTACGACAGACCAAGCAAAAAGAAAAATTGCATCAAACTAGCCCTGCCCATTTCGATTTTAAACCCCAAACTAAAATTAATAACAATAAAATTTGAGCTTTTGAGTTTTGATGATCAGATGATACTACTTAGTTTTGAGAGGACAAACCCGAGCATGCCACTGATGAAATGATCGGCCATTAGCCTTAACGTTATCTTCGGTCTTTTTTTCCTATAAACATTAATACATATTTGTATCTATGAAAAAAACATTAATGTATGCATATAAACGTTACGTTAGTGGTTTCTACTTGCATGTTAAATACAGAATTTGCAGTCTCCAATCATATTGGCAGTCATGTTTTCTTGTAATAACTTGAAGTACTTGTAGAAAAAGAATTCGTTTCATATCATAGGTTAGGAAACATATCGTTTTAAGAAAAAAGATATATGAGAAATTGTAAATCGTCTCTGTACATGCAACTCTTTGTTTAGGAACAAACAAAAAAAAGCACATATAAATAACTTGTTATTCCATCAAAATATCGAACCTTTCCAAGATATAGGCTAAAGGAGCCAAAACGAAAGCTGAAATAGTCATTCGATAAGCACCAATGACCATATGGTTCACACCAACATCAAGAGCTTTCTTCACAAGTGCGTTCACCGAACCCATCGCTACATTTGTTATCACCATTACTATTACCGGTGAATATTTTCCAACTACTCTCACTCTTTGCAGATTTTCACCCATCTCTCTTTTCTCTCTCCCTCTACCTCTCTCTCTCTCTCTATGTGAGTTTGCGTGTGTTAGAGAGAGATAAGACCCGATGTGATTTGAGTTTGGCAACCACAAACCTGCTATATATTTATACTATAAGAAAGTGTGAGTGTATGGGTTCTTTCCCCATTGGACTTATATTGACGTTAACCTAAACACACATCTACCGAATCTTTTTTTTTTTAAAGGAGTAACTTTTAAATGAAAATTTAACAAAGCACGTTAACCTAAACACATATATATATTCTTTTACTTATCAACAGAATATTTTTTTGTAAGGAGTAACTTTTTGATGAGAAATTAACAAAACATGTTTAAGTACTAATGTGTTGTATATTGTCAAATTTTAATTAACTGATACCTAAGTATGATAATCTTAAGTAGAAATTAAATATATCTGATTCTAGAGCATGATTTAAATTAGAAGTTAAAATATTGATATAGTATCAAATAAATAAAAGAGATAATTTTTTAAAGAAAAAAAATACTAGAAGGATCAACATTCATCACTTTACAATGAACGTGCGTTATATTATTAAAACTACAATCAGTGCAGTTCCTATCGTCTATTGTCTATATCACAGGCGCATATCTTTATTATCTGAATACGAGATATAATACTTCACTATTAAATAGTTCATTTATAAAGATAAAGAGTTCAATTAAAATCGACGAACTATAATTGAGTTTGAGTGTACGATGATGTATATGTCAAATCTGGATATCGATCATGGACTTACGAATCACGGGTCCATATATAGACCTTTGTTTCTTTTTTAACTTTCTTCATTGTCTTCTTTAATTGATCTATTTATATATGGATGTGCATTCAACTTGGTTTATTGTCCAAACAACCATTCGTGGTTTTATGTTTCTGTTTGTTTGTCGCGTTTCTCGATATGTAATTCAATCAACACTATTAAACAATACTAGTTCATTATAATTGTTTCTTTAATTATTTACTGGTTAATTAGGTAGTTTGCTCAAGTGTGATCATTAGTCATTAGATATATTAGACTAAGTTTTAAGTGGCAAGTACTTAGCATGCCTTGGTTTCTCTCACTAAACTCAGATATATACCACTTTCCACATCTCTCTAAGTCTCTAACTCTCATTTGTGAAAACCATCTCGTTAGCTTTTTTCTCGTCTCCGTGACTCCGTCACTTCTGATTTGCTTATCCGATGCATGTAAGCCTTTCAATTTACCTTTTTTTGCTCATAAATCCTAACCAGAGAATACAAACTCACCACTTTATCGGACACCTCTTATTCTAGCTATAGAGGCAGCGGCGGTACATCGCCACCATAAACTTTTCATTAATAAACTTTTTTTTTTTGCCTTATGCTAAAATAATATATAGAGAAGACGAGGATAGCAGTCTTCTTGGATCATTATAACGTTATATCGTAGGTTGTTGAGTCACTACTGTCTGACTAGTTTCTTATGATTGTATTTTGTATATGACAGAATAAAATGTAGGTTTCTATGATAACAAAAAGAGAAAATAATTTATCACAACACTGAAAAACTGAATACAATTAGGTCTGTAGTTTTTTCCCAGTAACCATGACTGGAAAGTGAATAAAGTAAACAAAATTCGCCTTGTTCACAACATATGCAGTGCAGGTAGGAAGAATCGACAGATTTCGCGCGTTATGTATTACTTTCCTATTACGTTTAAGCTTTTCAAAATATATGGAAATAAAATGGTTATTAAAGGAAAAAGTTGTTAATTCTATCACGGCAAGTCATATACAATTCATTCGATTATAATTTACAACTTCTTTGTATTTGTATTTGTGTGTTTTTTTTTTCTGACATCTATTTGTACTATAAGTTAAGAGAAAAAGAAATATCAGTAATACACCCTTTTTTTTTACCGCGTATCTTTTTGTAATCACGATGGCCCTATCTATAAATATAACACGTGGGTAATAAATCTAAAAGAAGAAACATTTCTATATTTTACAGATATGATTGATCGCAAGATTGAGCATGACACAACTTTTTTTCTGACACAAATTTTTAAAAAAGGAAAAGATACGTTAAAAAAAGAAAGGACAAGACCAAAGGGAGTTCTTCGTATTGCTATCTGAGTTCGAGTCCATGAGTGGTCGTGGAAGTGGAACACAAAGCAAGAATTCTGATGGTCGTCTAATTTGAGCTGATCAACATGATATCTAAAAATATACCCACTCAAACGAAAGTAAAACTATATTTGGAGGGATCAGAAAAGCAAACGAAAGTAACTAGACAAGGAATAACGTTTTGGACAAAAAAGAGTTATGAATCATTTAGTGGGTGGGTCGACATGTACCTCACTAATTTGTAACATCTCTAGGCCTAGGCATAATTATGGGAATTTTAAGACCTCTCTTATCATCCCCCAAGGAAATGTAATTTAATATTTTGATGTGACGCCTACAGATTCCAGATATTTGGAATTACCAAAATGATAATTATGATTAGTAAACCAAAATTACAGTAACCAATCACAAAACATATTAAAAACAATTTCAATGATCTTTGTTTACAAAAAATCTTTGGTAGTACTAATTAATTACCAAAAATCTTTGTCGATATACTAAACTTAGAAAAATGTTAAAACAAATGAAAATTGTATTTCGCTCCAAACATCGTACTAAAAATATCATATATTCGACCGGTTGATTTTATGTAAAAGTCACTTGCGCATAATCATAACATGCATATATGCAGATTTTTTTTTTCTCTCATAATTTTCATGTTTAAGGACGGTAGAACCCGACACGTGCAAAACACATAATACAATACCGTATAATATATCTGTACGTACGTGCTCATGCGTACAAACATATTTCATATCATAATCTTGTTAAATCTAAGGAGCCACTAACATATTTTCATATCAACATTGAAGCCACTAACTGATCTAGTATATTTGCACGATGGCCAATTTGTGAATCCGAGGTCATATTCGACATGACTGCAAGAAAAAAAAATAGAGAGAGAGACACTTTTCAACGAGATAAAAGATCAAATCATAATTAGGTGCATTTTAATTAACACAATCTCTCTCTGAGTTAATTGTCCCTTCTTGATTATTGGATCCATTTTAGTGGATCCAACTGGTTTGCACTATCATCTGGTTTGCATTATCCTGTTTTTGTTAATTTGAAGTGAATATATAAAAATATGTATTTATATATATATATATATATATATATATAATGTTATATATCAGAAGTCATAACGTTTATAATATTGTTATTAATATAAATAATTCTCCGATTGTATTGGAGGATCGGACTCTCTCGTACTAATGATGGAGAAAATAGATATACAGTATACACCAGGATCCAGGATGATGGTTATGGTTGAATATTGAAATAGAAAGATGCGAAATAAAAACAGAAACATATTATAATTATAGTATCTCTTTTTCTTTTTTCTAGTGAAAGTGGCAAACGAATCATTATTTAGAATGAAAGAAGAAAGATAGTGTGTCCTCCCCTGAAGAGTTGTTCAAGTCTTCAAGATACTTTTTCTACTTTATCTGTGGTTTCACCTTTCACGATATGATTCCGGTTTAATTCACTCCTCATGGTTCTGTTTAGCTGCGGTTTGCGTTTTCATCGCATTAATGGGCCTCGACGAATCTAAAACCCATTTATTATTTGTGGCCCTTTCTAAAATGATCTCCGGTTTTCTTGCCTTTGTCAAGCAAGTTCAAGAATCGAGAGTGTCGTGTGACGTTGTGAGGATCCCTTATCCTCTCATTTTGGGTTCCTAATCGGTCCTCCGGGTTAAGTCTTGACAAGAAGAGCCTACAACATGAAGATGCTAGGGTTCTGTTTTCTAGGTTTTGCAACCTGAGTAGTATTTGGAAATTTGAGGAAGCAAGTAATCTGGTTGAACTTGCGATGCATTGAAGAATGAGGAAGCATTGCATCTAAGAGACCAAAGACACTTCATTTGTAGACTAGTGAGAAAAGAGAAATCATACAGAAGATATATATATATAATGGGTGATAAACATAATCGAGATCTTCTTGACAACTCGTTGAAGAAATCAGAAGACATTACAGCAAAAACAGAACAGTTGGTTTACGCCTAGCTCTTTTCGATACCTTCTCTGACAATGATTCTGCGACCTTCATATTCCTGCCAAGAGAGATTGTGTTAAAAACAAAGGAGTAAACCAGAGAGGAGGGGTTATTCTTTTCAAGATCCTTAAATGGATGGCGAACGAACTTAACTGTTCCATTCAGTGACAAAGCCGCATCACGTTCTTCCTTGTTTGTAAAAGAAAGAAAGGCAAAGACTCTGTTTTTCCCGGTCTTGCGGTCATGTAACACTCTCGTGCTTACGATTGTCCCAAACTTACTAAAGTGTTCTCTCAAACCATCAGGCTGTGTGAACCAAGGGAGATTACCGACATAAACCTTGTATTGGCTTTCGTACATGAGAATCTTCTTTGGAGTTGAATTCAAGGCTTCAGGGTTTCTTTTGGTTCCTGGATTCATGTCAACAGAGTACCTAACCCGCATTTCCCGACCGCCTACTTCCTTCATTGCAAGCAAACCAAAGAACATCTCAACTTTAAAAGCTCAATGAAGAAGAAGAAGAAAGGGAGTTTCTTTTTTATTCAGGTATCTATTGTAATTACTTTTGCATCAAGAGAAGCAATGGCGATTTTGGCAGAGTTTATAGAAGCCATTGTAACGTATCCGCTTCCACGGCTCTCTCCCGTCTGAGGATTTCGCGATACCTGCAAGATCATTCCAAGCAATAGGCACCTTCTCATTATATTGTGGATGATCTTCAAAAGCTAAGGACTTTCAGATTACAATGTGGTGGATGATCTTCAACAAAAAAAAAAAGTAAAAGTTTTGATATTTCCGTGAAGGCATTGCAGGATCAGCCAAGTCTGGATGAAAAAATAACAAGAATTACCTCTACGGAGATGACAGTTCCGAAAGGCTGAAACATCTCAAGAAGCTGACCAATGTCATAGCTTCTTGGGATATTACACACGTAGAGCTCGCAAGGTCTCTGTTTCTTTACCGCTACAGGTTCTGCTTCGGAGATGACAGCGTCTCCTCCATCAGTTTCGCCTTGTCCAGTTGTCACCTCTCCTTCTTCTTTAACTTCATCCACAACTGATAAATCTGAAGATGAGACCTTAATTTCCAGTGGTTGGGATACAAAGGGACGAGAGAGGTGAAAACAATTGGAAGAAGGGAATTGAAGTTTCAGGGATTCTAAGTAAGAAAAAGAAGAGGTTAGGGTTTTGTATTTGGGAATGGCATTGTGAGACGTTCGAGAAGAAGAAGATAAGGGAATTGCGAAGCAGGAGGCCGCCATTATCGAACCAGAAAGTAAATTAATTTGACATGAATTAAAAACCAAAAATAAAATAGAAATTAAACGGATAAACCGGGCCGGGTCATTCTTTTTAACCCGTTAAATACCTTATCGGTTTTTGTTACATTCTCTTTCGTTACATCCGCGAACGGTCGAGTGATCTGGACCGTTTAATTTTATCACGTTAAAACAATTGTGAGAGGATCTGGACCGTTTACATTCATCACGTTGCAACAACGGTGAGAGATCGGACGGTGATTATCTAACCTAAACGGTAAGTTTGAAAGATTTTGTGGGACCGTGACAATCTGTTACCTCTCTGTGTCCTATACTACAAAACAAGTCATGTACCCATGTCTATGAAGAAAGAAAGAACGAACAGATGGAGTTTCTCAGATCTCAGTCCTATTCTCAAGAAACAATTATAATGGAGAAGACGTTGAGATCATGTAGATTATGTAGTGACCAGTTACCACTACATAATCTACAACTCCATGGCTCTGAGGGAAGGAATTAGTTTCATGCTTGTTTGTGGATGTGATGGAATCTGCTATGTTCAGTTCTCTAAGAGGTTAGAAGGTATCACCCATAATCTAATCGTTATGCAAACTACAACACTGTTTTCTTTGATGTTAGTGTAAGAGCTTTGAATGGACTTCAAGGTCCAATGTGTTTTGGGAGTTGAGACTGGCTGCATCTTCCACTGAGAGCAACAGAGCATCATGGCTGCCTTGGAACAAAAGTTCAATATAGCTATGATGAAGAAAAACGATGAGAAAACAATGAAGAAGATATTGATGATGGATAAATTGAATTTCTGCTTCTGCAAACTCTTCCGTTGCTGATGGTCTAGTACAACTTTTTTGGTTTTCTGTTTGATAATTATATGCAAGTCATGCAGAGGAGATGCAAATAAGAAAAGAGTTTTGGTGATGACAAGTGCAGTGGAAGGATTCGCATGAGTTGGCTCTTTTACGAGATTGTGTACATCATGTCGAAGAGCCGGTATTGTTTACAGCTTTTGTGTATGGTTCTGTTCTTCGTTGATATGTGTATTTATGTAATCACACAAGATATCATTCTAATTTTGTTAAACCCTTGCTGAAGCAATAAAAACCCTACGAACTATAAGAAGAGCCTTGTGATAATTTAGTAACACCCAACAAACAGACCAAAAAGTTCAAATGATTCAAACTGATTCTCTGTAGAATTTAACTTAAATAAGATATATGGAAACATCAAACAGAAGCCAAAGAAAAGAGTAGACAGCTTGTGGTTAAACATGTCTTTTCAGACTTGAGCTGTGCCTTCAGTAAACTTGGGATCCTCGCATCTGTACCGTCCATCAGGTCCAATTCCAAACCCTTTTGGATCAGCAAACACATTCTCTAGTAACTGACTGCGACCGGGCTGGGGACTCGCGTCTGCAAACTCAACTGCTTCTTCCACTAACTCGTCTATCTTCTTCTCTATCGACTTTAGCTCCGCTTCCTTTGCAAGCTTGTTCTCTATCAAATACTTCTTCAATGCTACTATCGGGTCTCTAGCCGCGTATTTGGCCTTCTCAGCTGCCAGAAAATAAGATATAGCCAAATTCAAATGTAACCCATCAAAGATGCTCTAAACTTAAAGATTGATTCAGTTTTAAGATAAAAACTACAAGCTTCAAGAAATAGTAAAGTAGAAGGAAGGAGAGATTTACCAGCATCACGGAGCTCATCGGGATCAGCCAAAGAGTGTCCTCTGAATCTGTAAGTTTCACATTCTACCAAGGTTGGACCTTCTCCTCTTCTAGCTCTAGTGACTGCCTCTTTGGCCACTTCCCTCACCTTCAACACATCCATACCGTCAACATGAACACCCGGCATCCCAAATGCAGGACCTTTCTTCCATATCTCGGGATCAGACGTCGCTCTCAAGTGAGACATCCCAATCGCCCACAAATTATTCTCCACAACAAAGATAATAGGCAATTTATACAGAGCAGCCATGTTCAGACACTCGTAGAACTGTCCATTGTTACAAGTTCCGTCACCGAAAAACGCAACAGTGACGTCTTCGCAATTCTGTTTCAAGACTTCCCTTCTGTACTTTGAGCTAAACGCAGCACCAGTGGCGACAGGAATACCTTCACCTATAAAAGCAAATCCACCAAGCATGTTGTGTTCTTTAGAGAACATGTGCATGGATCCACCTTGACCTCTGCAGCATCCAGTGACCTTCCCAAAGAGCTCACTCATCACGGCACGAGCTGAGACACCTTTGCTGAGGGCGTGAACATGGTCACGGTAAGTGCTGACGACAGAATCAGACTTGGTCAAGAGCTTGATGAAGCCAGTGGATACAGCTTCTTGGCCATTGTACAAGTGAACAAAACCGAACATCTTTCCTCTGTAATACATTTGAGCACACATGTCTTCGAATGATCTACCTAGTATCATGTCTTCATACAAGACCAATCCTTCCTCTTTGGTTATCAACTATATTCGAAACAAATCCAAAGCACATAGAAATATAAAAATCTCCAACTTCAATCACAAATCAAGACACACAGAAATTTACAATTCCTTAATCGATACGATACAAACAAATCGAGGAACGTGAGAATTTAAAAGCTTCGAACTTTAATTCCTAGAATGAATTACTCAGTCACAGATTTCGATAAATACAAGTTAGGATCAGAATAGTGAGCACGAATTATGGTAAAACTACTCCACCAAATACTTAAATTGTGACAAAGTGTTAAACTTTAGAACAATGAGGGACGAGGTGAAGGAAGCAGCATCATACCAGGCTGTTGGTGGATTTCTTCTCCTTGACAACTTCCTGGACAGCAACGACGGGAGGAGATCGACGAGAGGCGTGAGCGTGATTGAGTCTGCGAGAAGAAGGAAGGGTGAGAGAACGGGTGGATCCAAGGAAAGAGGAATGAGGAGCCAATCGGATCGGGGGCAAGAGACGATTCTCTTGAGATCCATGGAGAGGGAGGGTGGCAGTGAGCTTGGTGGGAGCGAAAGCAGTCGCCATTATCGTGGTATCAATGGACGAGAGACCCAAATGGGATTTGTAAAAATGTTATGGGATTTCAATAGAGGAGGGCGGAGAGAACAAGGGCAGGCAGAGAGAGTAACAAACAAGAGGCACAGGAGTTTTGGACCCACCCACCCAAATACATTCGTTAATACCAATGTTTTGTTTTCTCTCTTTTTTTTTTGGCTGATTAGATCTGATCTACTTCAAATCTCAATCCTATTTATACGTACTCAACATAATTATTCTGTATTTTACGACTATTTCTTCTTAATTTTGCTTATATTGAACAAAGAGTATCATCAAAATAACAATTATTTTCCTTTTCTTACATCGTACATTACTTATGCTAAATAGTAAATACCAATGTTTGTTCGTTTCTTTGAAGATCAGATCGGATCTACTATAAAATCACATCCTTGTTATACTACTCAATAGAATTATACTGTATCAAAACAAACATGCTAAGAAAATTAACGGAATCTATTTTTTTCAAAAAAAGAAATTATGGTTAACAAAAAAAAAAGAAAAAAGAAAAAAGAAATTATGGTAACTATTCATCACCAATAAAATCTTTAGTTTCCCGGTAGAGTTTATAGATGCAACTACTTGTGTGACTTTCAAAGAAGGAAATTGAATTAAAACATTCGTATTATAATAATAAAGAACAAAAAAATAAGAGATGAATGGTTCTAAACTTTACTTTGGGTTCTCCTGTTTCTCTAACTTTATTTACATTAATTAATTATCCAAGATCCTTTATTTCATTTTCGCCATTTGAAACTTGTGAGTTGTGACAATAGACGTACAAGTGCGGAAGTATGAATCAACCAAACAACGAAATGTTCCTCGACCGACACGACTGGCCAAACAAAGCAGGTTTAAACCACTCTCCTCCGCCACGTAACGGACCTAAAGGTTCTTCATGTCTATGCAAGCAATTGTTATGGGCCGGGCTCAACGATAGATGAATATAAATGGTAATATTGTAAAGGGCCTTTCTCACGCTTACGTCTAAACTTGTGCGACCCCTACATTTATTAGACACGAACGCCTAAAGGATGATTTCTTTTATTGTTTGACGTCTATAGAACCAACATTTCTCGAATGGTTTCAAACAAGAGAAATAAACTATTAAAGCTGATGAGTTTGCTCGAAAACTAAAGTTATGCAGCATACGCTTCAAAGAATAAAGACTAACGGTTCTTTAGCCAAACCAAAAGTGTAATAGCTTAGATACGACAAAATGTGCTTAAACCAAAAGAGTAATTGTCTCAAATCGATAAAACCAGCTACAAAGTAGGAAAACAAGTAAATGCGATATAGCTTAATCGAACAAGCCGAATCCCAAATCTTCGTCACTCTCTTCTGCTGGTTCCTCCTACAAGAATTAATTTAACCAAAATTAGACAAATTACCACCACAACAAACTAAGCTAGACAAAAAAAAAACAAAATATACGATTTATTGTCATTTCATTTACCTTCTTCTTCTCCTCAGCAGCTGGAGCAGCAGCGGCAGCACCACCACCAGCAGCTGGGGCAGCAGCTGCAACTGGAGCACCGCCTCCACCACCAGCACCAACGTTCATGATGAGATCAGTGACATTACGTTTCTCAGCCATCTTGGCGAACAACATTGGCCAGTATGACTCAACCTCGACTCCAGCAGATTTGACCAAAGTCGCGATTTTGTCAGCCTATCATGAAAAATCCCAGGGTATAAACAAACAGAAGCAAAGAACTTCATCCAATTCAACACATCATTTGGACAAAAACAAAACTGTGCCAATCATAAAAATTTCAACGGCGAATCAAAACAACACAAAAGCGTAACCAGATCAACAACAGATCAAGGCCCTAGAACAGAACAAAAAAATCAGATTTTTTGACTATGAAGTAAACAGAAAAGGCACCTAATCCTTAAACTTCATTACCAAATACAATGAGGCAAGTTCAGATATAACTAAATGTAAAAACTCATGAGAGAAAAGCATAAGTGAAAAGAAGGTTACCGTGATAGCAATACCCTCGTCTTCGAGGATCATAACAGCGTAACTGCAAGCAAGCTCTCCAACTGTCGACATTTTTTTCCTGAAACGAACACAAACTATTAGTCGCCTATTCACAAATCGGAATCCCAAAATCGAAACTTTAGATCTAATTAATGAAAACGAAAACAATTGTAAATCAAACAATACAAACGATTGTGACATATAACAACACGAGAACTACGAATAGAAGAAATGGAAAAATCATCGAAGTACCTTTAGATTACAATCGAAAATGCTTTCGCAGCGCGGCTCCAGAAGAAGAAAACAACTTTTAGTTAGGGTTTTGACACAGAGATGGGAGACTCTTATAAAGCTTGTATCCAAGCAAGCATATGGGCCATAAACCTATTCGTAAGGCCCATTAATAATTATTATAGACAGATCGGTTTGAGATAATTGGGCTTCATTAATGTTTGGCCTTTATACGCTTTTCTGTACGAGTAATATTTTTTTCGAAAACGTAAATTGGCTTTTAGTTGAATAGCAAAAAAGGATTATGAAATTCAATGGAAGAAATTTATAGATTAACGAGCTAACAGCAACGTGCAATTTCTCTCTCCCTAGCTACGTATATAACCACGCACGGTATATATCAATCAACATGGACGGACCCCATAACGAATATATGCATGTTAATATCGATGCAAACAAAATAATATAATAGTTATTTGTTATTATTAAAGAAAAGAAGTAAAAATAACAACACAGTCATCGGTGTCGTGGTTGCAGTAAAAGAGGTGGTCAGACCAAGTTCTTACACAAGCAAGCAACCAAAGATTATCTGTACTTCCTGTCTCTCTCTCTCTCCCTCTCTCCTTATTTCTTGCAAAAATCTAAAAGTAAATCTCAACTTCACAGAACAACGAAGAAACACAAAGACATGGTGTGTTAACAATGGCTTAATAAAGCAGTAATCTTTCATCTTCCCACCATAAAGAGTAAAACGCCATGGGTAAAAAGAGCGGCTCTTCTTCTTGGCTTACCGCCGTCAAGCGAGCTTTCCGATCTCCGAGCAAGAAAGAGCATAATAACGAAGTCGAAGAAGATGAGGAAAAGGTTCGTTTTTTTAGATCTTGTTATTGCCTTCTGTAATAATAATGTTTGAGACTTTCTTGTTTTTTAGAAAATAAAAATATATCTGTTTTAAAAAACAGAAAAGAGAGAAGAGGCGGTGGTTATTTAGAAAACCAGCGACTCAAGAATCTTCGTTGAAGTCTTCCAGTATCTCTCCACCGCCAGTGCCACCACCGCAAGAGTCAGATAACGTAAACCCGGAGACAGCACCGAGTAACACAACCACAACACCGCCGTCTAACGCCGGAAAATCTGCGTCCGCCGTCTCCTCTGTCGTCACGTCAGCATCCAAGGCGGTCGCACCCAGACGGGCTTATTACGCAAGAGAAAATTACGCTGCTGTTGTTATCCAAACTTCTTTCAGAGGATATTTGGTGAGCAAATTAATTAGCAACTTTTTTACATTTAAAACCAACTTGAGTTCTAGACCACTTTATAGTGATAGTGATGTGTTATATAAGAATAAATAAGATCAACCGTGTATATCCTATACAAGATCAAACATTACAAATATTAATTAGCTGTTTCTTATATTTTGATCCAAGTTCAGTTCTTTCTAATTTGGCGTGTTAAATGCAATGGACTAGGCAAGAAGAGCATTACGAGCACTAAAAGGGTTAGTGAAGCTGCAAGCGTTGGTGAGGGGTCATAATGTGAGAAAGCAAGCCAAAATGACCTTAAGGTGTATGCAAGCTCTGGTTCGAGTCCAGTCTCGTGTGCTTGACCAACGCAAACGCTTGTCTCATGACGGTAGTCGTAAATCCGCGTTCAGCGACTCGCACACTGGTTTTGACTCTCGTTATCTTCAAGATATTTCAGATCGACAATCCATGGTTAGTATAACATTCTAGGCCTTGCCTACACTATACCACATTTAATTGAGGTATTGTAGTTATAGACATGTTTTGCTATATAGTTACACACATGGTTAAACGGTTTTTAGCATGCCTGTCTAATTTAGGCATTGTTCTGTAAAATATATGTTCCTTGATCGTTAGCATTTGTGTTTACTTTTGGATTTTGGTTATGTATTTGTTGAAGTCAAGAGAAGGAAGCAGCATCGCAGAAGATTGGGATGACAGACCACACACGATAGACGAAGTGAAAGCGATGCTACAACGGAGACGGGACACAGCATTGAGACAGGAGAAGACTAATTTGTCTCAGGCCTTCTCTCAACAGGTAATATAACTAAACCGACAAAAGAAAAAGGCTTATAGTATGTGTATATATATTGAGCTTGTTAATAAGATCCTTTCGTTTCCATGGAAGATGTGGAGAACGGTTGGTAACCAATCCGCGGGAAGAGACAACGAGGCAGAACTCGAGGAGGAGGAAAGACCAAAATGGCTAGACCGTTGGATGGCTACTAGACCGTGGGATAAACGAACTAGTAGTAGTAGAGCTTCTGTTGACCAAAGGATTTCAGTTAAAACCGTTGAGATCGACACTTCTCAGCCTTACTCAAGAGCAAGAACTGGAAGCCCGAGTCGTAGCCAAAGACCTAATTCCCCATCAAGAACTAGCCAAAGACCTAGTTCCCCATCAAGAAGCAGCCACCATTACCAAGCCCGCAATAATTTCTCAGCCACTCCATCTCCGGCTAAGTCTAGACCAATACATATTCGGTCAGCTAGTCCGCGGTGCCAGAGAGACCCGAGGGAAGACCCGGAAAGAGCAGCTTATAGTTATACATCAAACACACCAAGCTTGAGATCTAATTATAGTTTCACAGCTAGGAGTGGATGTAGCATTAGTACCACAATGGTTAATAATGCATCATTGTTGCCTAACTACATGGCAAGTACGGAGTCAGCTAAGGCCAGGATCAGGTCTCAGAGCGCACCGAGGCAGCGACCAGCAACTCCAGAGAGGGACCGTGCGGGTTCGGTCAAGAAACGGCTCTCGTATCCGATCCCACCGCCACCAGAGTATGAGGACAATAACAGCTTAAGGAGCCCAAGCTTTAAGAGTGTGGCTGGTTCACATTTCGGTGGGATGTTAGACCAACAATCTAATTACTCTTCATGTTGCACAGAGTCTAATGGTGTTGAAGTCCCTCCAGCTTCTACTAGTGACTTTAGGAATTGGCTTAGATGATCGTTGGTGATGCTAAATCAACGGTCATGATCTTTTCTCATCCTCCAGGCAAAAAAAAACACTTTTATTTTATTATTCAGAAAAAGAAAAAAGAACATTTGTAATTGTGTCGTTGAGGTTGAGTTTAGTCTTCGGAAGAAAAGTTTATTAACCGATTGATCTGTAATTCTAAATATTTTGAAATATTAAATGATTTAAATTGATTTAAAAAAAGAAAAATTGATTTTAAATACTTTCTTGAAGGTAGTGGATTTTCAAATATATGTTCATATGTCAAAAAAAAAAAAAAACTAGCATATTGTAGTATGTTCTAATATATAGATTATGTTTTTTAGATAACTAACCAATAATCAAATTGTTTAAAGAGGAAAAACAAAACTAGTGACGTGTACAAATATTCTGTTTCTTATCTTATAAATGAATGGCTTTAAGAGCAACCAAAACAAGGGTTTTTAACATCTTTGTATTTAAAACATAAAAAATAAATCAAAATATAGGTTAATTAGAGAGAATTCTCAATAGAAAGGCTCTCAATAGAGAGACTATTGTTGGCTGAAGAGACGGTGATGTGCCGGCACGTGAGTGGCCAAAGTTACAAAAAAAACAAAAAAAACTCAAACACAAAATTTGTTTAAACAACTATTAGTACACTTCACGGTCCAACATGGTATAATTGGTTTTCATGGCAAGCATTATTGTGTTCTTTAACCAATCTATCTTTGCTGAACCAAACCAATTTAGTTTTTCAATCTTTCAATTTCTTATTAAGATTATGGCATTTTTAAAAAAACCTAATATCCACTTACTAATAAGATATTTCAAAAGAGAAATTTATTTTAATTTATTTTTTATAGATACTGTCATACTGACTTCTACCAAAATGAGAGATTAGATATCCTTTGTTTAGAAATTTGTTTTTTGTATGCTTTTTGTTTTTTATATTTACTTTTATGTAATATTTTTTTAAAGTCATGTTTATTTAAGAAGTAATAAAATGCAATCATTTTTTTAATAATTAAATTAAAAATAAATTTAAAGAGCCTAAAGGTTCTTACCATTGTAACACAATAAATTTAAAAACCCTATCACAAACTCTTCATCTCAAATTTTTCAAAATTTATACTATAAATATTGTAAAGAACCCACAATGAGTCTCTCCCATTGTGGATGGTCTAAGATCTTATTTTTTTTTTTTCAACTTTTGCATTTGAATCTTCCACTTTGGCTCAAGAATTTACGATTTTGGTGATTTTGATACAAAAGTGAGACTCTCAAACCTTTTGAGAATGAGCTAAAAAGGTAAAAAAGCTGCAACGTTGCTACTTGAAACACGAGAAGAGGACATCACCCATGTGACAATGATTCCCCAACATCACAAGTCTTGTCTTTTGACCTTTTTTAGACACAATTCTTTATCCCTTCCACCTCTAATAATATCCCAAACATAATTCCCCAAAATATTTGTTGTTTTTTATTCAAGTTTTTTTTTCTTTCTGAAATTTGAAATTATTTAGTGTCAAATTCTTTGCCCAAAAAACATGTTGTATATATATATATATATATATATATATATATATATATACACTATATAGTGTCAAATTAAGCTGGAAAGACAGAAAATTTAATTAACAATGTTGGAGACAAGAAAACAAGATAAAATTCAAATGTATCTCAAGGAGAAATTCTAAAACGGAGCCGACAAAAAAAAAATAAAAAAAAAATGAAGGAGAAATTCTAAAACTGCATGTAGTTAAGAGTATGCTGAATCAGAACAGCAAGGATTAAAAAGCCCTTTATGGCCCATATTTTAAATAGGGTTTTCAGGAAAACAGCGTTGATGGATCTAGATAGTGAACTTTCATGTCACTACGCGAAGGAGTAACGATCTACTATCAAACAGCCCAATGGGCCTTTAAGAGATCTACGAAGCAGCACTGTATAATAAATAGTACAACTGAACGAAACTAAAAGAGCTGGCGCATGGTGAAAAGTAATCAGCCACTTGGAAAAAGTGGGAAACGTGTTTCATTTATTATGTTGAAAGGTCTACTGCATTGAAGAGACTAGTAAAGAGTAGACTGTAAAGACTAAAGAAGACACTGATAAATCTGACATGGCTTTTTAATGTTTTTTTGCTTTTTTTTTTTCTTCTAGTTGTTGTTATATGTTGGCAGCAAACCAGTTATGCAGTGCATATGATGGTTCACCCACCTCGACCTAGACGAGTTGTTGACCGAACTAATGGTTCAAGACTTCAAGACGACCTTTTACATAGTTATTAACTTATTATTATTATGATCAAGACTTTGAAGAACCAAGACAACTTTTGCAATGGATCTGTTTGTTATATACTCTCTTTTTCTTGTTGACTCTCTACGTTACTTTTACAAAGCGGAAAAACAAAAAAATTCCAAATTGTTGTCACGAATGAATCTGAACCACACAACTTCGCAAAAGATCAAATAATCTATATATATAAAGTTAACTTTTTCTCTCTTCTCCTTAAGCCACATCATCATCCTAATCATCATCTATTTTATTTTATTATTTAGTTTTAAGAATTAATTATATTATTTTATCATTTAATTTGATTTTGACATATCTAAATATTTTTTTCAAAAAGAAATATGAAAAGTCTTTTCTTATATTGTATATTATCAAAATAAAAATATTATTGATTAAAAATAAAAAAATAATTGAATGTTTTATAATGAATATATATATAAATTTAAAATAATATGACACAAAACTTAATTATATTTAAACAATTTAAACCTAAATTAAAATGAGATTTAACGGAAACAGAACAAAACGTAAGAAAATTTAAGAATATAAATCTATCTAATAAACATAAATGAGATAGGTTAGTACAAAACATGAATTCTCATTTTAAAAACACATAAAAAAGGTCACACTAAAAATAATATTTCTTTAATAGTTTGCAATATGAATTTAACTAATTTTTTCAATACAACAAATATGGTAAACTAATAAACAAAACAAAAAATTAACAATATTTCATAAAAATTGAACATTAAAACAAAAAAAAACATAATTAAATGAAATGAACTAAATATAAAGTAAATTATACTAATATGTTAAATTTTAAATTTGTTCCATATGAATATACGAAAATATATGTAACAGAAAATCAGAAACAAATATATAATAGTATAAAAATGATCATAACGAGATATAAATTACGTCAAATAAAAAAAAAACGAAAAAACAAAAAATTAAATTATGACAATATACAAGGATGTTGTAACCAATAAAAAATACAATAATCCGCTTGAAACCCACAAATCATTTTTAACTTTCAGCCCAATATATTAAAAAAAGACCACAATATTAACATCTAGATCTATATTTGGTAGGAACTCTAATAACACATGTTTTTCTATGTTCTCCACTGCACTTCCGTTTACACTCATATATCAATCTATATTATACACGTTTAATTTCTCAACTACTAATGAAGCTAAAACTCAACAGGTTTTATATACAAACACAATCTAATATTTAAAAAAAAATAAAGTATGTTATAGTAAAAAAAATAAGTAAGAAATAAAATACGAACCAATTACTCATTAACAACATAACAAAACTAACGCGCGTAGCGCGGACAACCGACTAGTAAAAAATAAAGTACAAGTGATTGGAGCCAGCGTCGATTTTGCTATTGTGCAAGCTATGTAATTCTATGGAGTATGGATATGTGTGAACGCGTAGATAGTGTGGATTAGACTCTGTTTGACTAAGATAAATTTTCCAACTTTCTGGTTTACCAAAAGTATCAAAAAATCAACTAACGTATACCAAACACACATCTATAAATTAATTAAATTATATATATCTTTCAATCGACAACTTACATTTAAAAAAAATAAAAAATAAAATCAAAGAAGGGACACAATTACACATATATAATTATCCGGTTCTACCGATTATTGCACAACTTTAACCGGATAATCATCAATCGAACCAGCCCACGCGTTACCAGTCATCTCCTCCGTTGAGACCGCTCGTAACGCTTTCCAAACCGCACTGTTACACTTAAAACCCGACCCAAACGCTATCTGCCAAAGTCGATCACCAGCTTTCACCCGGCCCTTAGCTTCGGTATAAGCCATCTCATACCAAAGTGAGCTACTCGAAGTGTTACCAAACCGGTGCAAAGTCATTCTTGAAGGTTCCATGTGCCAATCTTTGAGGTCAAGATTCTTCTGCACTTCGTCAAGAACCGCTCTACCCCCTGCGTGAATACAAAAATGCTCGAAAGCTAGCTTGAAATCTGGGATATACGGCTTCACTTTGAGTTTGAACATCTTCCTTTTGACCAACGAAATCAAGAACATCAACTGTTCCGACAATGGAAGAACCATCGGTCCTAAAGTTGTGATGTTTGTCTTTAGAGCGTCTCCGGCGACAGACATGAGCTCTCGAGCTAAAGAGACACCGATTGTTCCTCTCTCGTCCTCCTTCTGGTACACGCAATTGTAGTTCTTGTCGTCTGATCCTTTATGTGTCCGAACGACGTTGACCAGCGAGTACTTTGACTTCTTCCGGTCTTGTCGGCGGTTAGAGAGGAGAATCGCGGCTCCGCCCATCCGGAAGATGCAATTGCAGAGAAGCATTGACCGGTCATTTCCGAAGTACCAATTTAGGGTTATGTTCTCCGTGCTTACCACGACAGCGTAAGAGTTAGGGTTTGCTTTGAGGAGGTTGTTAGCGAGATCGATTGAGATTAATCCGGCGGAGCAACCCATTCCTCCGAGGTTGTAGCTTTTGATGTCTTCTCTCATCTTGTAATGGTTGACGATCATAGCTGATAGAGACGGCGTCGGATTGAATAAGCTGCAGTTTACAATCAAGATTCCGACTTCGGCCGGTTTAATTCCGGTTTTCTCGAAGAGGGAGTCTAAGGCGCCGAACATAACGGCTTCAGCTTCCGCACGTGCCTCCGACATGTTTAGCTTGGGGGGTTTTGAGGTGATGCCACGTGGCAGATAAGTCTCGTCTCCTAAACCGGCCCGGCTCGAGATTCTTTGCTGGAACTGGATCGTGTCATCAGTGAAGGATCCGTTTTCCTCCGTCATCGTCAAGAACGAGTCCACCGATATTTTCCGCTCCTCTTCCGGTTTGTAGCATGCGAAATCAACAAGATATATCGGTTTAGACCGGTTAGCCACGTAGAGAGTCAAAACGAAACAGAGGAAAACCAAGCAGGCGAGTCTCGTGGCCCCGTCGAGTTGAACCGCCTGGTTAGACCAAAGCTCGGAGAGCGTATCGAAGGTAAGACCGGTAAGCTGAACCAGGACGGTTCCGGCTAAAGGAAGAATGATAAGAAAAAAGAGAATGGTGGTGAGGTTGCAAGAGTTGTGAAGTCCAAGCTTCACGTATTTGAGCTTAACGGACGTTAACAAATCGGGCAAACGTCTCCGGATTCTTATAACGGCCGATGATGAATCTTTAAACGCCATCTCCGCCGTTAACCTCTCTCGATCCATCTCTATACTATTTGTTCTCTCCATTATAGTGATCAGTATAGCTTTGCGTCGAAATATTTCAAACTGGAATCAAGATTGAAGGAAAATGTAAAAGGAGCTAGAGACTTAAACTTAGGCAAATTTGGGAAAAAAAGAGAGAGAGAGAGAAAACGAGAGAACAAAAAAAATGCTAAAAGAGGTGAGTTTGGAGGATTTTGGTGAAATTAGGGCAAGTAGGGATGGAGAGATATATAGAGTTGCTATTAAGTGGAAGAAAGATAAAAATGATTAATAAGATTAAATTAATACAGACTTAACCAAAAAAAAAAAGATTGGAATAATATTCGAATTTAATGGTGGGTGGTTCCGAGATACTACTATTAGCTCAACTACTTATATACATTGGGGACCTTGATATTAAATTTAACTAGTCAGATTATTTTGTTTTGTTTCACACGAAAAATATGAAAAGCTATTATATATAAATGGAGTAACATTTTTCACAAAAGTCTAGCAAAACCCAGCTGAAGGAATCTCCTCATAAGTCATATGGTAGATCATAACTTGGGGTATCTTATAACTTTCTATTATTGTTTTAACCTATAGTTTGTTATTAATTATAAGAGGCAAGTCTACGTACCAAAACTAAATATGATATGTTAAGTGTCTGTTAACTACATAATTTATCATAAAGCCAAAGCGTTTTTTCGACACCAATGATTAAATATACATATCTTTCATTAATTAGCATAGCAAGTTGTACTTGTATATACATGTACGTATATCCAAAATTGAGTGTGAGAAATTTAGGGAATGATCAATCGAATATTATAAGTTGTTAGAATATATTTTTGTTTGGTAGTAAATTGTAAATACAAAGGAAGAAACGTGTTTGAGAAACGTTTCTTTCAACTCATGAGAAGCGTTCCCTGTCCAATTTGCAATTACAATGGCAGACGAAAGCGTGTCCCCAAATATTTTAAGTTTGTTATTTTTATGTACAAAGTGTATCCCACATGGATACATTACAAACTCCTTATTATGGGCCATGGTAAATTGATATATTAAATAATTAATTCTCTATATTTTCACATTCGTTTTTTTTTTGTCTTTTTCATTACATACCATCCACATATGTTAGCTGTTCCAATACTGTTGTCATTATCATTTGATACATATTATTGCCCTACAGTCTTTTCATTAAGACGTTGCTTTAATTTTATATTTTTAGAAATTTATAAGGAAGCAAGTATAATTAACTTATAAAGAAGTAATATATTCGAGTATTCTTTATATACGTAATAAAATTGATTGTGTCAAGGTGTCGAAAATGGACCTTGGATGGATGACGGTAGTTGTAGGCTCGAAGCCTTGTAGGTAAAAAAAAATCGGATTTAGATTACGAAATCTATTTATCTTATCTTTACCTAGAAGACTTATTAAAAGAATAATAAAAAGTAAAAAAGAAAAACGGTACCAACAAGCATACTCTTTCTCTAAAGAATGTTCCAAAATCCTAAATAATATATTGGAAAACTACAGTTGAAAAAAAAAGAAAAAGATTCGACGACGTCGGTTCGATGGACCGTGATTACTACACGAAACACATGTTTCGACAGTACGTACCATCATTACCAACTAGAACGACCCAGTTCATCAGATGCTAATAATAATTCATATTTTTAGGTTTATGTGTTACGCATGCATGTACAGCATAATTAACATATGTAAACAGTGGAGAACTGATTAATTAACAGATGAAAGTATTAATTTGTTAAATAAAAAGAGTTAATGATGATATTAAATGGTGGACTGGTGGCCATGTGTATACATAAACCAAACAATTAATGTTGGTCGGCTTAATACCAACTAACTAGAAACCAGTCCGCCATCAATGTATGAATATGTACATATACATATTTTTCACAACCATACAAATAATTTAAGAAAGGACTAACGATTTAAATAGTTCCAACATAAATAAACGACGTAGGTCTACTTCAAACTACATCGAAAAAGGGTTGATGATGGCAGTATCATATGCATAGTACTCCTGGTACGCTTCAAAATTCTGAAAGTGCATGCATGGTGCTGGTGTGATCTAGCTAGTGGTTGTAAGGAGTAAATGTTCAAATTAAAAATCACTAGTTCAATTGCCGATATATCCCAAACACCGGAAAAATATTATGGTTCATACGTCTATTATCGCTATCGGAAGATGTCTAGCTATTATCAACAACCACCAATTAATCAAAACTTGTCACATGTTTTTAGTTGCCAAATCATAGTCATTTGCTTTGAAAATTCTTTGGATTAACAGAACAAAGTAGCGACAACTTTTCAAGACTTTCATCCGCCACAACTCCATTCCAAGTTTCAATCGTAAAAAATGGACAATCTGTAGCTAGCCATGATATCATTGGCTATATCTTGGGTAGTATCTACAAAGTATAAAAATCGCTATTCGATTTACAATTTGTTGACCAATCCCAATTCTTCTTCACTTAATTTTATACACAGTTACTATACTCACTTCGTACGTTGTTTTACAGTTAATTTAATATGTCGCCTCTCTTAATTATGCTATCATTGTATCCCCATTTTATATTGTTGTGGTGTCATTGTGACAAATACCGTAGCCATAAAAGTGACAATATTGTTTCAACTATACGCAAATAGTGAAACTTCCCCAGCATAACGGACGGAACAATCCCTTCATTTATTGGACCTTTTTTTTGACTAATTGAATTGTTTGACTTTGTAGGTTTGACTCAAACTCAAAACAAAAGTAAGGCCAACCCGAGTTTTGAGGAAGATCGCATATGGCTAAGGCTAGCCTATGGATCCATTACCTCCATAGCCCACTTCAGAGTTTTTCTGTTCGTTATACAAAAGTTCAACTTTTAATTAAAAATTTCGAATTGAACAGCTTTTTTGTTAATTATGTTCTTATTGCTTATGTTCTTCGACGGCTGCATCAGTATTCCAGACTACATCCTTTAATCCAGATGAGAAGTTTTTGTAGAACTGCAAAACATATTTTAAACATAAGCCACATTTATTCGAGTGTTTAACCGGATCAGACCGGATGAAGATTGAAAATAAAACGTACCTTGTGAAATTCGAGGGTATCGCCGCCGGTTTTCCTAAGCTCCACCACATGCAACGATGGCGCCACTTCAAACACCTATTAAACCGATACCCAAACCGAAAACAGTTAGATAACAGTATTCAATCAGAAAACCAAACTAAACCGGAGTGTTGTATTTTTTGTTTTCTTACCTCTGTAGCTACGGAGAGTTGACCTTTACGACCACTTTTGTCTCCTTTCATTTTTATCTGCGATTTTATTAAACCATGTTTAATATTGAAGCCACAAAGGCATAAACTGACACAGACAAAATCAAGAAGACGAACAAACCTTGTAGTTGTCTTTACGGACATTGAAGCCTAATGGCTTTGCTGTTTCTTCCATTTTTGACATTATCTCACTCGCAGATCGTTGTGAAGTAAACCGCGTCTCTTTCTTCACAAGTTGCTGCAACAACGAAAAGAACAGATTTAGTTAGACTACACCACCACTATGGATTCTTTTAGACTATCAAGCAAGTAGGAATAAAGTTCGTACGGCTTGCTTCTCAAACAAGTTTTCGAGACTGAACTCTCTTGAGCTAGAGATAAGTTCGAAAGCGTTCATGGATACTGGTTTCTCCTTCTTCTCTGTTACAAGACATTCCTATAGTAGCAGCACAACACAGTAATATTAGTTACTTTAACTTAACCGAACTAAGGAGAATTGGGAAAGGGCGCTTTTTCTTTTTTGTTTGTACCTTGGAGTTACTAAAAGCAGCATCAACATCAGCTATGGTTATGTCCTCATCATCTTCATCAAATGATGGCGGCTTGTATCCTTGCTTGAACCATTCATCTTCTAGTAACTCTGCAATACTTATTCTCTGCCATTCAAAAAAGAGAAAGAAATATCGTTTAGCTTTGATCTTATGGTTGGCAGCATCTCAAGTTCACATTTCACAACTATATAAGCATTCATGTGAGAGGCGCTTACGGTTACAGGGCTGGGTTCGAGAATACGCTTGATGACTCTCTTGGCACCAGGAGAGAACCATGGTGGGCAGCTAAACTCAGCTTTGCATATCTGAAATATATGTTAAACACCAAAGATGAGGTAAAGAGAAGTTCTGATGAGGAAAAGTATGCAAGAAGCAGAGGAAGAGATATTTACACGTTTGTATAATGTCATGAGATTTGGCTCATCAAAAGGCAAGTAACCAGCCATGAGTACATATAGAATTACACCACAAGACCAGATATCTGCTGCTGCACCGTCATAGCCTTTGTCTGACAAAACCTGCCCACAAAGCAAACAAGTATGCCCTAGAAATTAGAGCCTATATATGATTCTATCTTTGGAGCATCTACAGAACAATCTATATCCTTCGCTTATTTTGAGTTTTGAAAGTAAGTATATATACCTCAGGAGCAACGTAGTTTGGTGTTCCACAAGCTGTGTGAAGCAAACCATCTTCCTGCATTCAAAAGAATTAAGGATTAGAAATCTTTCATTCAAACTAATATCTAGGTTATTTCAGCAGAAAATTAATTGCCAAGCTTCCATGATGTTCAATAGAAAACACAAATGGCATTACCCGAACTTGCCGTGAGAAGGCGCTTAACCCAAAATCAGAGACTTTTAAAACACCATTTGCATCAAGGATTAGATTTTCAGGCTGCAAGAAGGAACACATCACATAGCATATGAAACTTGAACAGGGTTTAGAATATCATAGTGCAGGAAAAAAGAAGAAGGTACAAACACAAAATAAAGACCTTGAGATCTCTGTGGTAGACCCCTCGGCTGTGGCAGTAATCCACAGCATTGATGAGCTGCTGAAAGTATCTCCGAGCTTCATCCTCCTTAAGTCTCCCTTGTTGAGCCTATTTATGATACAAATCCAAGGATGACATTAGTAAAGAATAGGTGAAACGACAAACAGAGAACATCTTGATATTGTGAAGATGAATAAAAGAAAGATGGCGTCTTACGATTTTATCAAAGAGTTCACCTCCATTGACAAGCTCAAGAACGATATAGATCTTAGTTTTGCTAGCCATAACCTGCACACACCAAACAGAACATAAAGGTGTCTTTTAAAGATTCAAAGCTTATATTACATAGTATTTCAGGGATGGAAGAAGTGATAAGCTTCATACCTCAATGATTTCAACAACATTTGGATGTTTAATAAGTTTCATTGTCGATATTTCTCTCTTAAGCTGCACAACAACAAAAAAGGAACCTTTAAATTCATTAAAAATCCTCAAGATCTTGCTCATGACAAACACTAAATCTTCCTCAGATTCGAACCAATTCCAAAAACAAAACTAGTCTAGTTGAAAACAAAATCCATGTCCTAGATGTCGTAATCAATGCGTACTAGGAACAGCATATCGTATGTATATAACAGATACCAAGATCGTCAAATCCGTAAATACACACAACGTTCATACAATAAAATCGAATTTTAAAATATTATTTGTAAACTTTTTAAGTCAAATCATTAACATAGAGTAGCAACGTAACACCAACCTAGGACAAGTAGGTCCCTAATCACGAAACTAAACTGTTCTTTAATTATGATACTTCAATAGAATAATATAAAAAGAACCATAATCCATACGTGTTTTTGGGTATCGTATTATTATCTAACAAGAAAGAATGAAAACGAACCTGTTCAACCATTTTGTGACGGAAGACCTTATCTCGGTCGAGGATTTTGATAGCGGCAAGATCGCCGGAGACGGTGTTCTTGGCGTATTTGACCTTAGCGAAGCTTCCTTCACCAAGAGTTCGTCCCATCTCATAGTTCCCAACTCGCGTCCTACTAGGCGGCGTCGCCTTCCTTCTGCTCCCGCTCATTATGTGTCGGCCGATGAAGCAAAGTTAAAGAATCTGGAAAATGTGATCCTGCAGCCTCCTCCTCCTCTCTCAATATCTTCTCTCTTCTTTTCTAGTGGCTGGAATATAAGGCGAACGAGAGGAAGTGGACGAGCCAGAGATTTATTAGGAGCGACTGGGATTCACGCGCGCCATGTTGTTCTCATAAGCCACGTGTAACCAAATTATTAGTATTTTTCTTCATGTTCCGCGTCCGTCCCGTGTAGGCGCAATGCATGTATTGTACTTATTGGTGTGTACGATACATTCTCCATCCATGTAATATTTTCCACTTTCGTTTTTTTTATTTTTGTGTGGTAAATATATCATAAGCTCCAATCTTGTTTTCTTTGGGATTATATGAAAAAGGTAGGGGGTTTTTAATATATGTGGATATGGTTTTTAATTTTTTAGGAATGCGATTTGATGTCCATGATCTTAATTATGTGCTGTATCTTTCTGTGTTTTATTCCGTTATTCTACTCATTAAGTGTGCGTATCATATAAATTTGTATTGGACCATCGTTCTCAGTATATAATTAGCTCAATCATAATAAGTTAATAACAGTATCAATTGACTACTGGTATATACTTTTTCACAACAACAAAAAAAAGTACTGTATATATGATTTACGAAACTGTTTGTTTGGTTTGTCCAACCATTAAAATATGTAACGGTTCTTCTAGGCTTTAAATTAAAAGAAAATTAAGATTAAATAGAAGATAATTGAAGAAATATAGGATTGATCTTTCCATGTGAGTAAACTGTGCGAACCCCACAGCATATCCTTCCTGATAAATTCTGATGAGTATGACACCGAATGTGATAATGTTTTTGTTTTCCTTCTTTCCTTTTTTAATTTATTTCTTTTCATATATATATATATATAATGTTTTTGATAAATTATCTATACAATAAAGCCAAAAGACGCAGAAAATAAATTGTGGCGGACAATGAGTTAGTGAGTTATTGCATGCTAATAATATTCTTTGAAATATATATTTGCAAACAAAAAATGCAATAATGCAAACTGAACCACTCATTCAATAATTGATTCTGATTTTAAAAATATATATATATTTTTGTTCTTAAAGTCGGATCGGAGTACAATAAGATTACGTCACCATCATATGATAGCAAACTTCATCAACTTGCCTACAGTTGAACTTCCTCAATCCAGCTTTTGTCCGAATTTAATTTGGTTTTGCTCAGTTTGTGATTTTTTACTAGACTGAACATCCGCGTCCTACATTCAAATAGACATGTTACTAATGTGTATCCCGTTACAGCTTAAATTGCCCATTAACCTTTTCAGAAAACATTTTCTGTAAGTGGCCCAAAACAATGAATAGAAACTACAATTTGTGTTTGAACAAAGATGGTTCCAATTAAGTTTAAAGTTCGAATAAAGTTCTAAGAATATGTACAAATACGTAAAACCCTGCTTTGTACCACACCCGTTTTTGGCTTTTTTACCTTCCACGTCTTTCTTCGCCTCGTAACAGAAATGACATAACTTAAAACTTAATAGAATTTTCAAACTTAAAAGTGTTTCAATTTAAATACGTATAAATATTTTGAATTTATACGTACAAACCTGAATGATGGGACAAAATGTTAAGTCGGATTTGTTTTCAACATATTATAAATTTAACACTTAACAGTAAAATAATTTTACAAACTTTAAAATATTAAATTCAAGTGTTAAACTTTTACTAACTAAATATTTTCAAACTTAAGTGTTTCAAACATTTCGAACTTATGACACCAAAACTTACCCCGAATGATGGGACGGGATGCTAAGTCTCTGTTTTCAACATATTAAATTTAACACTTAAGGTTGAAAATATCTTGGTTGTAAAATGTTTTGTTTTTTACTTTAAACATTAAAAAATAACTTAATTTGTGACAAAAAAAAATCTTTAAAAATAAAATTGAAGTATTAAACCTAAATATACTTTTGCTAACTAAACATTTCCAAACTTAAGTGTTTCAATTTAAATATGTAAAAACATGTTGAACTTATGACACCAAAACTTACGGACCCGAATGATGGGACGGGATGCTAAGTTGGATTTGTTTTCAACATATTAAATTTAATACTTAAGCTTGAAAATATTTTGTTTGTAAAATGTTTTGTGTTTTACTCCAAACCTTAAAAAAATAGTTTGTGACAAAAAAACTTTAAAAATTAAATTAAATTTAAGTATTAAACTTAATTAATACCCAACTAAATATTAACAAAATTAAGTGTTTCAAATTAAACATGTAAAAACATGTTGAACTTATGACACCAAAACTTACGGACCCGGATGATGGGACGGGATGCTAAGTTAGATTTGTCTTAACATATTTAAATTTAACACTTAAATAATAAAATATTTTAAAATTTAGACATTAAAATATTAATAAAAATATTATTTGTGACCTAAAAGTTGAAAGGTTAATATAAGTATTAAACCATAAAAGTTAAATATAAGTATTGAACCAAAAAATCTGATTTGTTTCCATTGTAAATAAATTTAACACTTACGTTTAAAAATATCTTTATTTATTTTGGAAACGATTTATGCAAAACAATAGTTTGAAACCATCAAAAAAGGAAATTAAGAATGGAATGAATACCTCCTGCAGCTTTGTGACATTGTCGAAAATCATATATGGACGGCTAAACGTCCTTCAGCCCATATTGCCAGTATGTTGTGAAAAAACAACGCCATTTGTATTACTATAAGCAAAGCTGTGTTAGTCTGTCAGAACTCAAAAGAAACAATAAGACTCTGCAAGTGGTATATTGACTGAAGATATCTCCAGTTTCCCATACAGATAGTGCGTTTAATTAATAAACATAGCTTGAATTTGAGAAGTTAAGCAAGCTCTATGCTACTTAAATATTAGCTACGTTGCAAATATACTGTATTAGCAAGTGACTATTACCATATCCTAATTCACAACATCCTTTAACTGCTATCAAAATTTGCCTATTTGGTCCTGAAATCTACTTTCCCCAAAAAAAAAAACAAGGACAAAGAAGAAACATGAGTGCCGGTCTTGCCAAAATTGAGAATCTCAGTTCTATTTTGGACATGAGAACAAAGTACAAACAGCAATAAAGAAGAGAAGAAGCTGACATACATAGAAAAAGAAGAAGAAGAGGATGCGAAATTGTTGGACATGAGAACACAAAATGCTTCTTCGGTTTATGTATCGGCTTTTTCTCTCTTTATTTTGCAGAGATGATCAAGAAGAGAAATTGCATAGAGTTTGCTTTTGGTTTTGAAGAAGAAGAGAAGAATTGAAAAGATGATGTTAGAGATTGGATTAGCTTTCACTTGAGAGTAATTTTATTTTTAAAAGCTCTTCGAAAAAAATGGAAACTTTGATTTGTTTTCTTTGTTGCTCAACGGTTGTTTCCTTTTTCTTATATTGGTTGCTGCTACCAAATAGATAAAAATAAAAAGTAACTACTGAACGGTCGAGAGATCTGGACCATTTATTTTTCACTGATCACGTCGCAACAGTAAGATCGGACGACGGTTATATCTAATTCTCAACGGTAAGTTTTTGAAAGATTGTGTGGGACCGAATTACTTCTCTGTTTACAAAAACAGTCATTACGGGATTTTTACTTTTTGTGAATAAAAATTTACTAAAAGCATTTGCATTTGTATGAAATTCTATTAATATATATATATATATATATAACGAATGATAATATCAATTGTGATGTGTTTCTTTTTGTTGTTATACAACATGGTGTTTTCTAATTTTTTATGGTTGAAAATGTTTGAACAAAGATGGTCAAGGGACCTAACTGTTTCCTCACATACTTTGCTTTCAAGGGTTTATTATTTACTCTTTTTAGTAACGAAGTTAGATATATTCATACGTATAAATTAGAAGAGTCGGGTCAGATTGTGTTACATATGTGCCATAAAGGTTGATACAAAAACATATAATGTAAGTTTCAATCGTGAATGGTGTACAAATACGTAACTCCGCTTTGCACCACACGGCACCGCTTTTGCCTCCCCCCTCCCACGTTTTTTTCCGCCTCGTAACAGAAATCATTACTTTAGAGTGCTACTATAAAATACCTCAAAACGAAAACCTAGTTCTAAAGAATTTTGCAAAACATAAACCGGATTATACACTAGCCTATTGATGCAAACCAAATTAAACCGGGTCTGATCTTGAACTTATATTTTCTAAACCAGCCTGTATGAATCGGAACCACACTGCATATATATAATATACTTTACTCATACACTCAAATGATAACATTAAATTTACCATCTCTTTTCTTTCACTTGGCCTGATTTCCCAGCAAACAGAGTAATGAGCCAAGAAAGCATCATGAATACGACTATGAAGAAGAAGAAGACGAACAAGGAGAAGAAGAAAACGTCTTCAATGGTGTTCTTATATTTGATGGTTGTGAATATATGCGGAGGATTGTTTCTAAGCTATTGGCTTTACAAATACCACCCCACCAATTCTAATCTTTGGATGGTTCCTCTCGGACTCCTCTTATTCATCACTCCCGCCTTTCTCTCCCTCTCCGTTTTGATCTCCGATCTATGCGACGACGATGACGACCAAGTCATTCTCGACCTAGACCAAATCACGGTTGTAATACAAAAGTTTTGAGTTTCTCTTTGTCAATTATTTGGTACTAATATCTATTAGATCGAATACAATTTGCGTCGTTTTATGGTTTAAGTTAATAAATTTTCCACCTTTGTACTTTGGTACTTGTACGACAAGTTATCTTTCTTTGTCTAGAGTTTTAGGTTTCATTTTCATATCATTTTCGTCATTTTATGGTTACCGGGTCGCGTAAAGAAATAACCGGTACAATGTAACAGATGTTTTGTCATTAAACCTATAAATATTTGTGGGGAGGAATTAAAAGGCGATTATGGTCCGTTGTAATTACTCTGTAGAGCGATAAGTAAGAGAGAATTTTCTTCAGTTTGGTGTTGTTAGTCTGCTGCATTTGATTGCTACAACGATGAACTGAGGCAAAACAAGAACAGAGTGCCACACGTCAGCCCTCCTCTTTTATTTCTGAAACCTGTAAATTCTTCAAAGTCTACCCATACGATTCTCTCTGTCTGCCTCCTCTGTTTTTTTAAAAGAAGGAATTTACACAAACGGATTGGGCCAGCTACTATAGTCTATAGAAGACACAGTCTCTTCTTTTAAATATCAAACATAAGGGATACGAAACTACATTGTCTTCTTTATCTCAATACAAGTTTACTAGACTGCTAAAGGCATGACTATTGTTACCAAAAGTCAAAAGATCTACCTACACGCAGGAATCCGAAACTGCGATTACAAAGACAGAGACCATCATCAAAGTCTCCTAGTTTCTTCATACTCCTATGTTACCGCTTCAAAAAGGTTACTAGCATTTTGTCTTAAAGTTTGCTATCAAATGCCTCATTTAATACTTCTTAAGATTCTATCGTCAAAAGACTTATGAATCACATATGTAGCATGTTTCTCCATTTGTCCTTAAGATCGGATGGATTACGAGTCTTGTGGAATACACCTTTTCCCATCTCCAGAATCTTCTTCCATGGCATATTTTTCTTGATTTTAGTTGAAAAGATCTCCACTCCCACCTGTCCAAAATAAGCATATACTATGAATTTAAAGCTAAAATGTATATTGTAAGAAGAACAAGTGGAGGTAGTGAGGTGGTTTTACCCTCAACATGTCTTCTTCTTTGGCTGTCCAAAGTACCCTTTTTGGCTGATCATTAACAACAACAGAAGCTTCATTGCGAGATGTCTCTATATCAATGAACTGATCATTAACAACAACAGAAGCTTCTCCGCAAGCTTTCTCTGTATCATTGAGCTGATCAACTGATTCGTCTAACTGGAAATTTAGAGCCTTAAGCTGATCGGTAACTTTTCGTATCTGATGGATGTTCTCATGTAGTTGCATTGGTAGTGATTTATCAGGACCATTCTCTAGTTGAATGTTTTCTCTCGTCGTGGCTATATCTCCATTTCGAACAAGTGCGGAAGTGCGTGCCTTTGCAGCTGCAACAGCCGTGGATCTAGTCGCTTGATACTTAAGCCAACAATAGGGACAGTATGCGGATGCAGGATCTTCACAATCAAGCTCAGCACATTTCCTGTGAATAGCGAAAGGGCAGTCATTCCCAGAACAAGGCACTACAGAACCGTCTAAAAGATCGCATACGATACATGCGAGTTCGTTCGACAGCTCAAAGCTTCTGCAAATCTCATCGTTCCCAAAGTTGCGATCATAATAGAAAAAGTTTTTAGCAGAATTGAAGTCATTATCACCACCATCACAGTGAGCGTTACAAATTTCAATGAGCTTTTCGTTCACAGAGCCAATTTCTTCAGTTTCACCTAGCTGAGAGAGAACAGACACAACGAAGACAACGGTGAGGCAAAACTACTAGTCATATAGTTTGGAATCTAAATTCCTAACCACAAAAAAAGTTAACTAAATAGACCAATCAGACTTATCAAAGAGAAAATAAGACTAATACAGGAGAAAACATCAAAATTAGTTGACAAAAGCTAAGCAAATTTGATTAAAATTTTTGGCTTAATTCGAAAGAGTAGAAGCTCCAATGAAAATTTAGTGTTGTAAAGGAGGCACTTACAGAATAAGGACTGCTGAGGAGAGCGATAGCATCTTCATCGATTGGGGGATGATTCTTCTCGGCTCTGATCTCATCTTCGATATCTATCACCATTTTGTTTTGATTCCAGATTCCGATCGAAGATCTGAGAAATTCAAAGGGTCTAAAGTGAGAACTGATTTCACGTTTGTTCGTACGGGAGAAGCTACTGTGTGTTTCCGTTAGGGGGGCTCTGTACTACTGAGTGAGAGTGTGTGTGTGTCTCTCTCTCTCTCTCCTCAGGTTTCGAAATTTAATTTCGAATTTAAGGAGGAACGCAATTTAAGGAGGAACGCCTAATGTAAAGTAACTTATTCGATGACTAATGGGCCTTATAATCAATCTTACGGCCCAAATCTGTGTGTTAAAATTCAAGAAGTAAAACCTTCTGAGTCTGTTAAAGGGTTTGCTATATTATTGGTTATCTGATTTGGTTGTTTTTGTTATAAAAGAAGGGATAAATTGGAGGCATTTTTAGTGATAAAATCCGAGAGAGGGGGTGCGTCGACATCCAGGTGAATCCAAGTAATAAATTGCAGGTTTCTCTTTTTAAATATTTTTGTTGAGATCTTTTCCAATTGCCCAATTTCTCTTTTCGAAAGGGTTTTCTTATATTTGGGGGAAGACGGAATTATTAGGGTTTAGGTTATTTTGATTGGTAAAGAAGAAGGAAGGAAGATGCAGCAGTCTCCTCAAATGTTTCCGATGGTTCCTTCCATTCCTCCTACTAACAACATCACTACCGAACAGATCCAAAAGGTTCCTTCTTTTATTCCCTTTCTCTCTTTCTCTTTAATTGTTTGGCACTCGGCTTTTTGAGTGTTATCAAGCTTCTTTTTTTACTCTCTTGTGCTCAAATGGGTTCTTGTGATTTGAGTGCAAGCAATAGTTTTTTCGGCAGTAATTTAGCGGCGATTTGTGTTTCAAGTGTTTATATTTGAATCTCTTACTATTTGTCACACAGGAATCTCACAAGTGTGTTTACTCTCCTTCGTGCTGTTGTTTCTTTTTCTGTTTATTAACGAAATGAGACAGTTTTAGGATTAGGTTACGGGTTTTCTTAAATTTTTGGAATACATGTTAATTTGGATCAACGCACTTAGAATCCGATTTTCAAGGTTGGACACTGATTGGTGCGTTTTGCTGTTTTGTTGTTTTGTACTTTCTTGTTTAGTTAAGTGGCCTCATGTGTTCTTTAATTGTTTGTGGTTAGATGATAGGCTGCAACTTCATTTCTACATCATTCTCTTTATTATCTTTTAAACGCAGTACCTTGATGAAAACAAGAAGCTGATAATGGCGATCATGGAAAACCAGAATCTCGGAAAACTTGCAGAATGTGCCCAGTAAGTGTCTCTTTTTGTTGACATCATTCTATAGACTGTAATGGAATCTGAGAACTACTATTAATATTGGTGAGGTTATATAGACATCATTTTGCTCCGTTCTACTCTCAGGTACCAGGCTCTTCTCCAGAAGAACTTGATGTATCTTGCTGCAATTGCTGATGCTCAACCCCCACCACCTACACCAGGAGCTGCACCAACACCAGCTATGGCTTCCCAGGTTGTTTGTGATGATAAAAGTCGTTTGGGATCAATCAATATATGTCAAGTTCCAATATGTACTTACTTTTGGCTTTGGGTATGTTTGCTGTTAGATGACAACACCGCATCCTGGGATGCAACCACCAAGCTACTTCATGCAGCATCCACAAGCTCCAGGAATGGGTCAACAAGCGTCACCCGCAGGGATTTTCCCTCCAAGAGGTCCTTTACAGTTTGGTAGCCCACACCATCTTCAAGATCCGCAACAGCAGCAGATTATGCAGGGGCACATGGGGATTAGACCAATGGGAATGAACAACAACGGGATGCAGCATGCGATGCAACAACCAGAAACCAGTCTTGGAGGAAGCGGTAACACAAGTCTTTGCATTTTAATAATATACTCAGTTCATAATTGTGAGTTTTATATATTTGGGTGATAAGTTGTGTTCATATAATTTTCTACTACAGTGGGACTTAGAGGTGGCAAGCAAGATGGAGCAGATGGACAAGGAAAAGATGATGGCAAGTAAAAGGAACCAAAGAAGCTTTGTTTTTGTTGATATTTAGGACTTCTGCGTCTCACGAGGGTTTTGCAATAGCTTATTTAAGTTTTAACAGAAGATAGTCTGTTGAATAGTTCCACAAACTGTGTTGTAATGTATTGTTATCTAGTAGTACAAGCACGTATTGGTTTAGAAACATGGTCATTCATCTTATTCTGAAAATGAAAGCATATTGATCTCTCATTCAGGACGCGACTTGACGATGAAATTCTGACGGCTAATGGGATTCATAACAACGGGAGGACCAGCAGTTCTTGGCCATGCTTGGAATTTTTCATCTGTGGCTGTCCACCATTCTTTGTTAGAGACAGTTCCTGGAGTAGTCCCTGAGGTTCTCACCAGGAGATAAACCATTAAGATTTGTCCCTAAATTGAAAACTCTAGAGAAGGAAAAAAGGTGAAATATTGATAGAAACTTGCCTCCAAAGATCTTATTATCAGAGACAACTTTGTCGAAGATGTATGAGATTCCAAAAGAGCCGAAGAGAGCACCGATTATGTACTTGGCTTTACCTCCTGATGAAGTTGCCATTTTCTTCCAAACCTAAGAGTGGTTATCATCACAAACATTCTTAGAACTCAACACTCCACATATGTAACCCAAATACAAGACAGGGGTATGTGAGGATTCAAGATTAAGTTAGGCCACCAATCACATATTTTTTAATTGCTCAACTAACAACAGATTGCCATACAAAAACTCAACTATTTTAGGGGAATCGAAGCTTTTACTCAATATATATCATGATACAACCGATCAAAACACAACCAAATTGCAGAGCTTTCTATTCAGAAGAAAAGGAAAAAAGTTTGTAGTAGAATCAGAAGTTACCTTAGCGGATTGAGAGACACTGAAGGTTTTAACACTTGACTTACTGATTAGTCGGAGAAGAATTTAACGGTGGAAATCAGGAAACTGATAGTTCAACTCTATCGTCCCTTATCTTTAAGAAAAGGAAACTTATAATTAGAATAGACAAACTTGTAAGAAAATTACTAAAATGGGCACATCTTCGGGAGGACTCGTTGTCCCTTTCCCACGAAAAAGACCTGACCGACGGGCACATCTATGAGTATTATTTTGGATATTTATTTAACTTTGTCCGATTTGTTGAATATTTTAAATTCACTGTCGACCGATCGTATCTGACCACAATATCTAGTTGTCGATGTTGTACGCCACTAAAAGAAAACACGTATTTATTTTCTTTTTAAAACCAGGATTTAAAACCAGGAAATATTGAGATGGATCAACTCTTTTACGAACTAATGTAGGTTTAAAACCAGAAATTACGGTCTTAGTCGAAACCCCCGTGGTCGTAGATCTCGCAAACGCTAATTAAAAGTTTAAAACACTCAGTTGATTACAAGAGACAAAAAGTAGAAACTACGGTAATTAAAGTATAATTATTATCCATAGGTCTCGTTTCATTGTCATAATCAAATCTACTGAACTGGTATTCTTTAGCTAGTTGAGTATATTTAATTTTTTTTTTTTTTTTTTGAAGATAGAATCCATGTATTTATATATAACTAAGGAAAGGTCCGTCCAATTTTGGTTTCGGCCTATGACACATAGTTTATCTTGTTTTGGGCGTATGACACATAGATTATAAGATCTAGCCGTATGCCACATCATGCATATATCAGACACACCAGTTTTAGTTCTTCGCCATACTCGATCTGTTTTGACTGTTGATATCATTATACCGTATAAAGAAGATTAGAGGATTCGTAAATTGCGCAAAATGACTTAATCTTAAGCATGTTTCATTTGTTTACGGAGGGTCTAGGGGAGTGTAATAAGTTTGTTTACAGTTTTCCAAAACTCATAAAACCCATGAAAATACAAAATTAATTAGGTCAAACATAGAGCTTAAATATTTTGATTGTAAATGACTACATCACATGTAACTTTCTAGACACGTAAAGTCAAATGATAATTTCCATATAATAAATTAGATCACACGCCTGAGCAAACTCTCTTATCCGATTGTATTTAAACGTCTTAACAAACTGACCCGCCAAAATAATAATAATTAAACTCTATAATTCGAATTCTATAAAGCTAATTACAAACGCTATTATTCCTTTTTTAAAGAACCAAACTTTAGATCATGAAGGAGGATCGTCGTCTTCCTCACAAACGCGATGGTCTCCAGTTCTTGACATCCAAGACTGCGTTCGTTATCTTCATAGTGCTATCCTACGCTCTTGGTTACTTCTCCGCCTACTACAATCGTCAACCGCCGCAGCAGCCACCGTCTACGGCGGAAGTGAGAACCGTGAAGTCGACAAATTCTCAAGGTTGTTCCATCGACAACTTCCGAGTAACTACTCGATGCGGCGACCTCGTCCCGCCTGAACTGATTCGCCGTACGGTGATAGACCGGATCTTTAACGGTACTTCACCGTACTCTGATTTCCCGCCACCACACGCGGCGAAGTACCTCAGGCCAAAAAGAATCAAAGGCTGGGGATCGTACGGAGCCGTGTTCGAGAACCTGATCCGCCAAGTCAAACCTAGGACGATCGTCGAAATCGGGAGCTTCCTCGGAGCGTCGGCGATACACATGGCGAATCTCACACGCCGCCTTGGGATGGAGGAGACTCAGATACTCTGCGTCGACGACTTCCGTGGCTGGCCCGGGTTTCGAGACCGGTTCAAAGACGTGGCTTTGGTAAACGGTGACGTTTTGCTTATGTACCAGTTTATGCAAAACGTGGTTAGCTCGGAATATTCCGGTTCGATATTGCCGGTTCCTTTCTCGACCGGTTCAGCGTTGGAGAAGATGTGTGAGTGGGGAGTGACGGCGGATCTCGTGGAGATAGACGCAGGTCACGATTTCAACTCGGCTTGGGCAGATATAAACCGGGCTGTTCGGATACTCCGACCCGGCGGAGTTATATTTGGTCACGATTATTTCACGGCGGCGGATAACAGAGGAGTTAGGAGAGCTGTGAATTTGTTCGCAGAGATTAACCGGTTAAAGGTGAAAACCGATGGTCAACATTGGGTTATTGATTCCGTCAAACTAACCTGATTCCTTCCTCTTTACAACACTTCAATGTATAATAAGAAAAATATGTAATATAGTAAATTCATCTTCTTCTTGTTTTGACAAAGACAAAGTAATGGAATTGAGATTTTGATTGTTTAATAAGGTAATGTATGCATGTGACTGATCAGTTAAAAAAACCAATCTTTTTTATTTGTTTTTCGTACTCCAAATTGATGATATAGCTAGCAACCTTAAGCTTGTTTTAAATTGGTCGTAACGTAAAGTAAAGATTAGAAAAACGCGTGCCCCCACACGATCGCAGTCTAAAAGCTAAGAAACCACCTGGGCATTACAAAGCCCAACAAGAAGCAAAAAAGAGTTCAGTCCATAAAAAAAATGGCAAGCCTATTAAGCAAGTTGGCTTGCTCTCGCATTCGGCACACATTTGATCCTGTTGGTCAGATCAATTTCTATTAGCTTTTTCTTTTCTTAATCTTTAAAAATTATAGATTTTAAAAGTTTTATACAAAATATGAACTGTAAAAGTTTTCCAAAACAAAAAAACATAAAAACCTTTTATAATTTACATATTGAATCCAAAAACTTTATATGTCCCATCAATTATAAGCTCGATAATAATAGTCCCTGCGTACTCCCTAATCCTAGTCAAAAAGTAGAGTTATCTTCTTGGTCTGTCGTCTTTCATTTCCTCTTCTGAATCTTGGGTCGTGTTGACATTATTAAAATCCACTGCAAATATCACAAGAGTTACCACAATCATATGAAGGAGAGTTCCATTTTTCATTCGAATCTACTTGAATATGCTTATTCATTTTTTTTACATCAGATGCTTATTCATTTATATGTCCAAATTATGACCAGAATCTAAGAATTTGCAAAAATGTATATACATACTAAACCTACCGAAAATTAATCTTCAAAAAGTTTTCTACCTCGTGACATGATACAGCCAATAAGATATATCGAAATTTGGAAAAAAACAAAAAATATTTCATAAATAATCCTTTCTGCAGAGAGTATTCTTCAATCCTTTACATCGAGATATTCATCTGAAATAGCTTATAAAAAGATTTATTTGCTTTCAAAATGCACATATACATAGCTAATGATATAGATATACGAAACAAAAGGCAAAAAAATAAAAACATAAACAGATCCCCCCATATGCGCAAATCTACTCATACGAAGCCATGCATGAAATATATTGAAAGACACCATTCTAATCTAAAGAGTAATAAAACGCTCATACAGATTATAATGGATTATTAAATGAGATTTCTGCAAGTAGTATAGCAAAATGATCTGGTGATCAGAGGCAATAACATGTTGGGGGGGATGAAGCCTGGTCCGAGGATACTCTATGATCACTTGTATCAACATACATGTATGTATATACGTGTGTGTCTGTATATATAATATCCTCGATCCAGACAACATTCCCCTCAACCGAAAGAGCTAGATTGATGATCATGACAATATTAGCAGATTCACATATTTGTGTAGTAGAGAGGGAGAGGGATAGGGAGAGGGAGAGAGAGGTGGGTGGAATGAGGGGTGATGATGGTGTTATGATGAGGGAATGATGAGTGGCGGAGAAAGAGATGATGATGGGGGCTTTTAATAAGACACAACAGAAACAGGTCGTCTTTCCTAAACCCTAGCTTTTTTTTTTTTTCCCTTTAAAAAAAATATACAAAATCATTTAATATCAATGCAGTTAATGCATAGTTTTTGAATGAGATGACACGTCACACCGCTTAACTTGGGAAGAAATAATTTGACTTTTGATTCTGTATAAATTAAACGATTATGATTTGTGACTAATCCACGTCTAACTTGGCAAGAAATTAGAAAAATTGACTTTGATTCAGTATAACATGACAATTTAAATAATTTTGTGATATACATGTTTTGGTTGACCGGCGTACCAACCGACTAGTTAAAAAGTAGTATCGATGATGAGATCACGATCGAGTTCAATGGAATAAAGAGATTTGAAATCAACTTAATTGTGCTCTAATAAAAGACTATACTGATAATCTTCACCCAAATGTACTTTTTGGCGAGCCAATATATAATACATATATAAATATATAAATATATATATATGATATAATTAGATTTATAGACATTCATATATAATAGACAAGAGAAGAGTGAATGTATTATTGAATAAATTGCGAAATAAAGAAGGCAAGAGAAGTTAGTCAGAAGAGTGGTTGGGTAAATTGAGGATGACCAGTTAGGAAACAAAATATTTTCAATTTAATTTCCAGCATCGCTTTTTAGGTTTCCTACCAACTTCATTAATTATTACTCATCTTTTCTCTCTCGAATTATTACAATATTTTGAAGAAGAAAAAAAATCTATGGTTCATATATACAAATAAAAAAAGCAGAAGGAAATAGGTTAAAGCTAGTTGGAAGTTTTCGTGGAGTTGTTTACAACGTGAAGCCATGTCGTTGTTTCTTTATGGCGTGGGGAATTTTTTTCATTTTAAAAGATTATTGTATTCTCCAGACGTTTCATTATTATGTAATAAGCATTATTAAGCCATCTTGTGAAACAGATGACCTTTTTTCTTTGTTAATAGCGCATCTTTAATTATTCGCATTCATCGATCAAGGCATGCAACATGTGATTAAATTAAGTATATATGTGACTATGAAGCATATAAATATTGTTATTAGATGACAAACGGAGAAGACGATGCTCGATCTGCGTTCAATTTTTGGACTTTCTTCTTGCGTTACTCTCGTCTCGTTTGCGTCATTCATATGCTTTTTTACATGATGACCACCTAAAAACAAAAACATAGATTTCAAGATCACAAATTCGGGTATCAACGATAGAAAAGATCAAATGTAATCTATCCAATCAATCGTATATATGAAACATGATTTTGATTCAAAATTATATTTTTATTGTTTTGAAAACCTAGGAGTTCTTTGCATTATATATAAAGCAAATATTGACAATATTTAGTGTAGATTTATTGTTATTTAAGTCATGTATACGTTCTGAGACATATTTATAGAGAATACAGGTCTGGCTACGACATCAACGTAGCATTGTAATTAGGAACGTAATAAATATAAAGGACTGTCAAGTTCTTAGGCATGTTTGTCTCGTAGCTCTTCGCCATTAATAACTAACTATAAGTCTATAATGGCATCCATTTTAAAAAAAATTTGAATCATAATACTGATTCTGTATTTACAAATTCAAGATTATTATTATTTTATTTATTATAAGTCTATAATGGTATCCCTTAATTATTGTGATGTAATTAGTGTATACAAGATTCTATTACTGATATATATGTGTATGTGTGTTTTGAAAGATAGGGTTTGATTTCTTGTTGCATTTTTTCTTGATGGAATGATTTACGGTTTTTGCATTTACTTTATATATATATATATATATAAAATTGTTCCTTCACCAAAATAAGTAATGGCCGTTGAAAATATATACTATTAAAACAAAAAATTTCTGTTTTTTTTTAATGTGAAAATAGTATAGGAGAATGAGATAAGATAATCTGGATTTTAAAAAATAAAAGGATAATACCAATAGCATAGTATAGAAAACTATAGCATATAATAGACTCACCATGTATATTTCACATCACGGGAAATTGTATTTTGATTTGACTTTTCGATACTTCTTATAAATTTGACTGAACCAGTTTGACCAACAGATGTATTATGTAAATGTTTTTTTATTTTCTTTTTCCTGGTGGCGGTAATATAAACAAAAGTCATCACTGCCTCGTTCATGATTAATCGACTCAATGACAATCATGTAAAAGACAACTGATCGAGACCAAGATATATCTTATATAATTACTGTGCCAAAGTTCTCGGTACGATTTAAATATATGAAGTTTTGAAACCATATATTAAAAATCGATATAATCCAGCCATGTAACACAAATGCGACTATTCCAAATAGTTTTGCATGTTGATTTGTTTCATGTTATTAAGGTGTAGCATCTTTCACTGTTATCTATCTCATTGTCCATCGTACCACATTTAAATTTGGATTTTGAAAATAAAAGTTGTTATAAGAAGATACTATATATATTTCAAATTGTACCCCTTAAGCCTTTCCTCATTTTGAAAATATATTGCAAGATTGTTAGTTGTTGTTACTTATTACTTTATTAGTATTAGGTGTGGGTGTGGATCAATAGAGCTTTAAGGCGCAATCATCCTCGTGTTTGTGTGAATTGGGCTTTAAGCGACTGAGTTGGAATCTTGAACATGCTACTGGAAAATGGGCTTTTATAATGCTTTAATAGCATCAAAGCCCCTTCCTACTATTGTTTCCTTTCATATTTTTTTAACTCAGTTAGGATGTGTGGTCGACTAGGTATATCGCATTCGCATGTCCCAATTTATCGAATATATGTAAGAACACTGATACATTGGTCACCACTCACCAAATAAATAAATAATGTTTTTGAAGTATTGAACAGTCAGAAACTAGTCAGAAACACTAGCCGAGTCGAACACTCCACGGCGACACCGATTAATATAATGTACAAAGTTTTAAATCAAATACTTCATTATATCTTATATAATTACTATGTCTCTTGACCGACTTCTTCATGGGAAATTTCGCAGCAAATTAAGGATGTCCAAACAATTTGGAGTACAATATAATTTAATCTGGACAAGTTATTCCGTTAAGTGGAATGATTCCTAGGATAATAGTTAATTGATGGTTATAAGATAAATCGAGTTTAAGTTATCTTTAATCTATTAAATTTAGTGAGATCATTTTATATAACAAAAAAATATTAGGAATTATACATTCTAGCCGAAACCATCTTTAATTTACAGCTGAGATCATCGTATCATTAAGCACATAGCAGACACACATGTTAATAATTGACAAGGTTAGATAGATAGAATCATGCATGCATAATTAATTAAATTCACGTAACATACGATAATATTTATTTTACATAAGACAGATCACAGATACATTCATATATTGATCTCTTAATAATCAATAAAAGGTGGGCGAATCTACTTCGCTCTTAGGATTACATATGTTTGGTTTTTCTTTCCTTCAAGGTTTATTTAAATATACATAATTTTAAATGAAAGATCCATGCACGCACTGACCAAAACCCAAAGCTTACGTCATAGTACGCCTCGGACTTACGTTAACGATAAGAGGACAGGCCATCTCACACGAGAGCCTCAAAACCTCCGACATATCTGGAGGGTTAGCCTCGACGCTAGGAAGCCACTCAAACTCATGCAAGAGCGTTGCAACCCAAAACGACACTGTCGCAAGTCCCAGATTCTTTCCAGGGCAAACCCTCTTACCCGACCCGAACGGTGCCAACCTCAGATCCGACCCGAAAACTGAGAACTCAGCTTCACCTTCTTTAGCCACGAATCTCTCAGGCTTAAACTCCAAAGGATCCTCCCACACGTGCGGGTCACGTGCTATAGCCCACATGTTAACCATGGCGGTGGTCCCAGCCGGCACGTGATATCCGTCTACGGCGGTGTCCGTTATAGAGAGGCGTGCCCAAGAAAGGAGTGGCCCCGGTGGGTGCAGCCTCAACACTTCTTTGATCACAGCCGTTAGATACGTGAGAGATGGAAGGTCGGACTCGTCTATGGCTCTAGATCTGCCAACGACTCGGTCAAGCTCAGCATGGACCGTTGACTGAACTTTGGGATGCATCACAATCCTCGCTAGCACCCACTCGATCAGAACTGCCACAGTGTCCGTTCCCCTAAATATCATTTCCTAATGGACCAAAAATAAATAAAATTTTATACTAAATAAGTGGTTTTATGGAATTTCACTGAAGTTGATTTTAGTGACATTATATAGATTTTAAAATATATACTTACCCAAAGAACAGCAACCATGTCGGATTCAGATAATTTCTCGGAACCTTGAAGAGAATGTAACACGTCAAGAAAGTTTCCCGTGGCAGCACGATGTTCATGAATGATTCGGCTCAATAACATGTTAACTTTCGGTACGAGCTGGGAGCACCTAAACCGGATTTGTTGGAAATCTAAACCGGCTAACCAAGGAAGATGGTCGGTCCAGTTTAGCGTACCGAGAAGATCGTATCCTTCCTCGACCAAACCCTTTAAGCATTCCGATTCGACGTTGTTAATATCAGACTCCAACTCATACTCTCTTCCAAAAACCAACCCCATCATGTTACACAGCGACGCTGTTTTGAGCAAACCCCGCACTCCAAACGCGGATTTAGCGTTACGTGCAAACACATTCACCATCTGAGTCACGATCACTCGTCTCTGCTCCTCCGAGCGTTTGATCTGCTTTGGGTTGAATAGATGGTTCGAGCTTAACCGACGCAGTGTACGCCAGTATGTACCGTTGGGAGCAAACCCCATGGCTCGGTTGAACATCAAACCGTATGCGGTTTCGTCAACTGGCCGGTCTGCAAAAACCGAACTGTTTAGTATTTCCTTTGCCACATCAGGATGACACGTCACCACCACCTTAGTATCACCGAGACTAAACGCCATGAGACGCTTGGCGTTACTCATCTCAGCCACTGACGCTATGCGCTGATGAGCCACGTGGCTTGACCTTAGGCTCATGCTTCCCACGAGTGGATACCCTCTAGGACCGGGAATGAGATTCTTGGATTTTCGATTATAGCCGAGAGAAATAAACCGGCGAGTAAAGAAGTATTTTCCCCAAGCCGGTCCACCTGGGGTAGACCAAAACACGATGGTTAAGGTAAACCAAGTGATAGCTATGGCGACAAGAAGAGAAGCAAAATGTTCTTGCATGAAAATATTGAATCTTGATGCAAGAGCAAATACCCACAAATTTTCTATTTCTGTTCTCATATTTAGAGAAAACATTATGGATAGGATAAATGTTCTATTCCTTCTTTTTGTTTCCGTTTAAAGGTTGTGATATAAGTTTGGGTATTTGCGAGGCTTTAAATAGACAATATACAAAATATGAAGATCTTAGCCAATTGCAAAACAGAGAATACTTGACATATTAAATATTTTTAGTTCAAAGTTATTTTGTTGGTGCTCATGGGCATATGCTAATAGCCCAATATGAGTTCGTGGTCATCTATAGGCATATGTCATGACATGTTTGGTACACTCAAATTATTATATACCTCCACAGAACTTTAATCTAAATTATAAACACAACGTATTGGATGTTATATTTACATCTGTCCCATCATTTTTCAATTCTCATTAAATAGTCTCCTTTTTATTAGTTTTCTATAGATGAGTATTTTATAATTCTTATAACCTTTCCAAGGAAACAAATACGTATACAGTTTGCATATATAATATCGTGGATTATATCGTATTGTGTAATAAAAGTGAGTATATATGCATCTTAGTAAAGTAATTTCATATCTAAACATAGTGCTTAATTAACAAAAATTATATAAAATAGTAGTATATATGTATTCGTAATTACAATTATTTTCAAAGATGCTAAGTTTCTGATGAGTCTCCTTCCAAGCTGAGTGAATGTGCGACTTTTCTTCTGCAAATTGCTCCCCATTTGACTTTTCCTTTTGCTAGTCAACGATCTTTTCCTTCCAAATTCCAATATCTACTTTTATACCAACTTATATATGCTTTTCCCCCCAAACAATATTATAATAATTAGAGTTGATAGAAGAAAATTTTAACATGCATGTAATTTTCGTTGTAAATAACACCTAGATCGTCAAAGTGTTTTATATATTCTATGGCCTCGAGCTCCCAAAAAATCCTTTATTAAACAGATCGTCCAAGTGTTTAAATTTAAGAAATAACACGACGACCAAACTCGTTCTTCCATTTATGTATGACTAAATAATGCATAGTATAAGATAATTAGTCTTAACTTCGATGATTTGTATCATTTTTTTAAATATATAAAAATCGAAGAAGTAATTTACATTGTTATTGCAAGAATCAATTTTTTTTTTTTTTATAAGAATCTTTCTTTTGCTAATTAGACATTAAACTAATCAGTTGCTTTACACATAATGCAGAGGTATCAGCATAGAAAACTAAGTGGTCACAGAACACTTGGTGGCTGATTAATCATACGTGCTAATTAAGATACAGTGTAAATATTGATGTGCTATATGTTTTTATATTTGATTATAAAGTAAAGACCCATTTTTTTAGGTCATGAGAGAAAAAGCGAGTTTCTGATTGGAGCACTTCAAATTATTCGGTTGCATGAAGGAAAAAAATAAAAAGAATCATATCTTCCATTGGATTTGGATTATATTCCAGATTCTAACGTGACACTCACAGTTGATGTCACGATAATTATTATGAAAATATCTGCTTTGTAGAATTGAACTTAATGCAATTCTGATAATTTGCACTATACTCATCTTAGACAAATCATAACGCATTGTGATTCCATATTAACCACACTAGAACACGTACGAAAACAATTTTCACTAAGTATAACAATTTTTTTTTAATGTATAACACATTATGATCCTCTATTAACTAGTTTTGTTACATTGATCACTAAGCCGTTCATAGATAACATAGTTTTGACTAGTAAATCCTTTTTTCATTTTTTTCTGCTACGTCTTTTCGTCGCCGAACCTAAGGTTGGACGTAAATGATTCTGCATTTTTGATTGAATAGACCTCTTGGAGTTTGACAGTACAAAAGAATCTGAATTTGTACATGAGAGAATGTCAAAGACGACAGGGTGATTACGAATGAATGAGCTAGACACATGACGGTAGAGAGAGCTCTTGACCTGTAAAATATGAAAAGCCCAAATGATCATATATGGGCTTAATTACAGAAAGCCCAATAATTGGCTTTATATTTTTTTGATTTATGGCCCATCACTCAAAATTTCAACAAGAGCACGAAGCTTGTTCCTTGATCTTGCTGACTTCAAGATCCGAGCCAGAGATCACATCAATCCTCGAACCGTCAAGCTTCACGGTGGCTGCACCGTCAGATTCTAGTCCTTTTCTAGATACAACAACGCGGCTGAAGATCTCCTCCAGCAAACGGAAAAAAGCGTCGTCGACGTTTCCGCCGCTTAGTGCCGAGACTTCCGAGAAATAAAGCCGTTGGGTCTCGGCGAACTCGACAGCGTCCTCCGTGGGAACGTCACGTTTATCGGGGGAGAGATCGGCCTTGTTTCCGACGAGCATGATGACGGCGGAATCGTCGGCGTGAGCACGTAGTTCCTCAACCCAACGAGCCACGTGGTCGAATGAGACACGTTTGGTAATGTCGTAAACCACCATCGCACCTAACGCGCCTCTGTAATACGCGCTCGTCACTGCTCTGTATCTGATCGCCGGAAAACGCCATCAAAATTAAATAAACAAATATTTTCTTATGTTGAATAAATTATATAACATAATCTGACATAGCAGACCAAAATCAAGAAAACCAAATAACTACTCAAATCCATAAAATTGATTCGTGATCCTAGATAACAAAACGAACTTCAACTTTTTCTTTATTTTAAACATTTAATTTGTATCCAAATATGAGATTCATCAGCTATAAAGAATATGAAACTTTTGACTGCAACGATATAAAAAAAAAAAAAAGTAGAGTAGAGATGAAAGACTGAAAGTTTTGTATGGGTGACCCGAAAATACAAAGGTTTTAATTATGCAGCAAAAATATCCGGTGAGTTATTGCATTCTCAAAAAAGACAAAAAAAGAAATATAGAAAAAATAATCTGACATTGTATTAACCAAATCAAGAACACCCACCAATGGGTTATTTTAAAACTACAGTATTAAATAATTATATATAAAGTTAGATGGAAGATGAAATCAACCCATCTCTAAACTACCGTGATCCAAGAAAACGTAATTTCTACATCAAGTTGAATCCAAAAGTGAGATTCAGCTTTAATAAAATTATACTATAAAGAATGATCAATGTGCGTTATTTTTACCTTTCTTGACCGGCGGTGTCCCAGATCTGAGCTTTAACGAGTTTGCCATGAAGAGTGACGGTCCTTGTCTGAAACTCGACACCAATGGTCGATTTGGAGTCATAACAGAACTCGTTCTGTGTGAAACGTGAGAGGAGCTGCGTTTTCCCGACGGCAGAATCTCCAATGACCACCACCTTGAACACGTAATCGATCTTTTCCGGCAGCGTCGGTTTCTTTACGTGTTTGTTATTCTCCGGCGACTCTCCGCTCATCTCTTCGTTCATTGTTGAGTTGTTGATGGACACAAAAAAAACTATAAAAGTCTCTTTCAAGTAAAGTGGGAGTGAGTGAAACAGAGCAAAGGGAAGAAGGTGGTTTTGAGTTATTTTTGTTTTTGTTTTAATGGTTTGAGTACGAATAAACCGAGCCAATCTTAACCGAACCGAATTTACATTAAATTTGAACCAAACTTCGATCCGGTTAGACTGGTTAGATTGAAACTGTTGTTATAAGAATATCAGCAAATCATTAACCCATTCGAAACTGTATAAGAAAACCAATCATTCGTGAATTTGGTTTTATTTTTAGTCGTCCAAAATGACCCAAAGCGAAATTGAAATTAAATGTCCTTAAACTATTCTACGAAGAAAGCAGCAACGCATTATTTTAATAAGCCATTATATGATTCTAAATTGAATATAGAATGTTAATATTGCTGTGAGCATGGACCGACATAATAAAGAACGTAATAATTTTGCTAAATCAATTTATTGATTCAACATGAAACCCACAATTTGTCTGGAGACCACCAAAAAGAAGCTCTCATGCTCCTTCACTTGTTGGTTGTTGTCTACTCCGACCTCATGTATGAATTTATTGCTTTTTATTTTTGTTGTTGTTGTTGCTGGAATTTAAATTCATTGGTTGTATGTATATGAGAATGATAAATCAAGTGATTGTTACTTATTTGTTGTTTTCAATTAAGACAACATTTTTATAATGAATGAATAAATGAAATGTTATAGAAAAGTTTTCATAAACGGTAAAACTTGTTTCTAATTTCTATAAATTAAATACAAAATGTTTTTATTTTCGGTTAGCTATAAAATACTTGCGAGTTTTTATCACATGAACTGAAAGATAACTTTTATACATACAGTATAACTTTTATACATACAGTATAACTTTTGATCATAATATGTAGTAAAAGAATTGAAGATAATAATTTATCACATGAATTGGGCTTTTATTAGACAAGATCCTTTAAGCCCAATAAGATAGGACAGTGGAAAAAAGAGGGTTTAAAATATTGAACAATCAGAAGACTGGGGGTTACAATCGAAATAAGAGAAAGTTTCGTCCCCTTATCCCTACTATAGTAAAAGAGAAGTACAAATACTCTTTCGGGTCGGTTTAAAAACAAAAAATAAACCCGACTTCAAAGTCGGATCTTTTCATTAATTTCTTTTGTTTTTGGTTTGGGTGTTTATTTCGAAACAAATAAGCATCCTTTACTGGGTATTTAATTGGTCATCGTTATATGTAACGCCCATATATACTCTCGGCTTCCCCGTGTTTCCATCGCAGAAGATTCAAAAACAGAATAATATTATTACTTTACATAACTACTTAAGGAATATTTAAAATCCTGCTTTCTCAAATTACTCATCTACAGTACCGCAAATATTGTGATTAGCATAACAAATATCCTAGATCTAGCAAACTAATATATGAAGATAAAATTCAATATCCCATTCTATTAGCATAAAATCTAAACCATATACATACATAGAGAGCATTTGACTTGATTTAATTGGGTGGAATATTATAACTATTTATTTAATATTTTTTTTAATAAATCTTAAATGAGAGATTTCCATTTCAAATTGATATTACGATTTGGTTTCAATCTTAATATTGATTGGAATACTTAGAAAAATGCATTTAAGTGCGAACGAAGATGTCGAAGTACATTTGTGTTTTGGGTCGGGTCAATTTAAAACTTTTAGCCCAAAAATTGTAATTATATACTTTAAAATCGGAAATTTAATTTATTTTGGATATAAAATCGGATACTTCTCATATTATTTCTATATTACTCTAACTTATTT